CTACTCCACCTCTGCTCCTGTGACCTGAAGGTGTTGCTGATTATCTTTTTCAATGATCAATTTGTATCTTTATTTTTGCTGCTACTGAACACCTGAATTTCTCCTATGGGGATCAATAAAATCTTTCTGTCTATCTATATCTATCTATCTATCATTTTACCTGACAAATTGTAAAAGTCATGGTAAACCTGAGAGCAGTTTCTGTAAGCGTTAATGTAATCACAGTTGATGATTTATAACCGAATGGAAAATCATTGGGTTATTTTACATTTGTCCTTTGGAGCAATATGTGTACATTCCAAAATCCAGGAGTAAAGGTACAGGGTAGAGACAGGAGCAGTGCAGGTCACCAGGACCACCTTACCATGTTTTCCTGCAGTAATTTCTGGTTTTGCACCTGAAAGAAAAATATACATTTATGTAAAGAAGCGGTCACATGATAATTTAGAATCGTTGTTTTATAAAACCAAACAGTAAAGTGGTCAGTTAATACAATCCTTCCCTACCCTACTCTACTCTACCCTACCCTACTCCACCCTACTCTACTCTACCCTACCTTTCCTTACCCTACCCTACTCTACTCTACCCTACCTTTCCTTACCCTACCCTACTATACTCTACCCTACCTTTCCCTACTCAACCCTACCCTACTCCACCCTTATATACCCTACCCTACTCCACCGCACTCTACCCTACCCTCTTTCACCCTACTGTACTCTACCGTACTCCACCCTACCCTACCTTACTCTACCCTACTAATCTACTCTTCCCTGATAGGAAGTGTTTCCACCTGCCCTGTTTAACCAGTACCAGCTCCTTCTTCAGTCCCTCTTAGTCCTGGTTCTGTCCAGGCCGGGATGATACTAAAGTGTTCTAATTGACAGTGATATGTCAGAGTGCTCCTGGAAGCCATGGTTACCAAGGAATTTCCCTGGATACTAGTTTGTTGTGGTAGATTGCTAGGATATGGTACCATTTTGTTTTGTTTAATTAACAGGACATTGCACAATATATGTATTGTTCAGAGCGGACAAGAGTACAAGTTGATTTTCATACGTAGTACCAGATAAATAATGGAAAAGCAAGAGTAGAGTAGAGTAGAGTAGAGTAGAGTAGACTTTACATGTGCTTTATACTCTTGTTTATTTGATGGCGTGGAATGATGTAAAAAATTATCTCAAAATTACACACACAAAAATCTGCAAGACCCCGTTAGAGAGAGGGACCACTGTACATTCTAAAAACCATCTAACATACAGGTGCAAATAGTATAATTACGGAATTGATACCGTTCAAGAAATTCATGAAATTCAATCGCATTTATTTTGTACAGCCCTAAATCACAACAGCAATTTTCTCAGAGAAAAGTCGTCGATTCCTAAACAACAGATCATAGAATTGGCTCGAACACAGAAAATCCAATAATAACAAACACGTACAAGGTATTGGTCCGTTGATAGTATGGGGGCAGTTAAATAAATACTGTTTTAAGGCCAAAATGTACAAAAAGTCTATTTCAAAGCTCAACTTTTTATGCAGTGTTCTGTAAATACACAGGAAACGTTTGTCGTCCATCTGTCCCTTATTAGCTTTTAGCAGGCCCCTGCTAAAAGCCCTTATTAGCTTTTAGCAGGGGCCTGATGACTGCAGTTTAATACAATACACACATGTTCTCTCATAATAAATATTGTATACTCACTTATGAACAAAAGAAGTAGCAGACACAGAGGCATGCTGACCGGACTGAACATCAGACCATCAGACCTCTCTGGTTTTAAGAGCTCCGAAAACCACCACAATGTCTACTTTTGAGAAACCTTGAGAAACTCTTTACCGACCACAGAAGCACTCGTCTCTTTCTCAGTCGCTTTGGTGCATTTCTCACGTCATTCTTCACATTTGCACAACAGTTTGTGCATTTCTCAGGACAGTTAGTAAAAACTTCCAAACCTCATCGATAACCTGCAAAAGTGTGTCACTTTCTCAAAATGAAAAGTGAATTCCTCAAAAGCAAGTATTGATTTCAATGGAACTGTCTGTGTCTCAGAATAATATGTCCTAACTCCAGTGTTTATGAACAACACAGTCACATCACGTTTTCATTGTGACACTTTACTTTGTGTTTTCAATGCAAACATGTCAGATCTTGGAGACACTTGTGCCGCTTTTCCATTGTCACGACACGGCACGGAACGGCCTTTTTCATTAAAAATGGTACCTCCAAGTGTACTTGGAGGTACACTTCAGCATGGGAGGGGTTGTCAAACCACGTAATTTACGCACAACGCGTAACTATTAACATTGATCTGATGCGTCACTTTTTGTCATTTGAAATACATTTTTTTTATTTTGAGTTCAATACATAACTTAGTTATTTAAAATAAATCTAAGTATCAACTCAAAAAAGGAGTGAGAAGTAAATAAGGTGTATATGATAAAAATCATATGCCTAAACATTTATTTTTCCCTTGTGTTTTGATCAAAAATAAAACCTTTTTGTATTTGGCAAATATGCCTCCATCCTCATTTTTAAAAGTTCCACAGTTATATGGATTTACTGACAAATATAATATATGTAATGTGAATAGAAGTAAAAGTATGTGGTAGGAAATCATAACTTTTGAACCCCTTTTCTGCACGTGTACAGACAAATGAATGAAACAAAGTCTTCATACAATCACAGATTTATTAAAAAACAAAAGGGCAAAACCAACAGTTTACAAAGTCCAAAGTACATTTGAGACCAGGTCCAGATGAGGAGAATGTGAAGTACTCCAGTCACTCATTGCTCGTTGGTAATCTCTTCACTTGTGGGAATTCTCAAACAAATAAATATACACACAAAAACTTATTGTATCATCAGCCCCTCCCACCTCCACCAACCATTCACACACAGACCAGACTCATTCTAATGTGGGTGAAGTGTCTTGCCTAAGGACACTACCACAGTTTGACACTTTACAGCCGGCCCACTGTGGTACCTGGTGTTCCCAGAGGTCTCCCATCACAGCACTAACCAGGCCCTGCTCTGCTCATCTTCAGAGGTCTAACAGGGTCTAGTGGCACAGCGGTTAGAGCTTTCACAGCAAGAAAAGTCCTGGGTTTGATTCCTCCTCCAGGCCTTTCTGTGTGGAGTTTGCATGTTCTCCTCCTGTGTCTACGTAGTTTTCCTCTGGGTGCTCCGGTTTCTACCAACGCTAAAACGTGTACAATAAATATGATTATAATGAGTTAGTGGATGGATGGTGTTGGTTCGTCATGACTGTGTGTGAAGTGAATGGGTGACCTTACTTACTTACTTCACATGTACCTGAGTAATTTAGCCAATTATTTATCGTTTTTGTGACTGTATGTCAACTAATTCTAGTAAATCACATCATATTTGGAACATCAGAGATTTAAAGAAGCTATGCCTGATAAAAAAAAAAAGTTCATAAAAATGCGTATTACTACATACAAGTTGTGTTATAATCCGTAATTTAATGTAAAACTTGAGCTCATTGATTCAGCTGTGTATGAATTCAGGCCATAAAAAGTGCTGAGTAGAGACTTTAGCGTGACGCCCGCTCTCCTCCAATCACAGAACGAGGCTGCGTCCTCTAGCCTCTACAGCCCTGCTAAACACAGTAGCATGTTAGCCGAATTGGCTATAACTCCTCTGGCTGTAACTGCAGACACAGCAAAACAGCCCAAACCACACAACAGTGAGGAAGAGAAGAGGGAACTAAAGCCAAAACATGATCAAAGAAGAAATCAAGCCCGGGTGAACATAGCTAGCTTACATCGTATCCTCTGGAGAGACTTGTCTATGGGAGAGACTTGTCTATGGGAGAGACTTGTCTATGGGAGAGACTTGTCTATGGGAGAGACTTGTCTATGGGAGAGACTTGTCTATGGGAGAGACTTGTCTATGGGAGAGACTTGTCTATGGGAGAGACTTATCTATGGGAGAGACTTGTCTATGGGAGAGACTTGTCTATGGAAGAGACTTGTCTATGGGAGAGACCTACGGGAGCGGGGCCGCCTCGGACTTGCTCGGACTATATTTGGACGTGGAACTAGCGGTAATCTTTCAGTTATATATTTTGTTTGCAGTGCGTTGCTTTTGTACCATTACATCAGTGATTGTTGTACAGTTTACAGCTTACATAGGGGACATGTGAAGCCTGTGAACGAGTTGGGGGCGGTGCTAAATATTAAAACTGATAAAAACCTGCGGAAACGGGTATAGCTCCTTTAAGCTCAGAAGAAGTTCCATGACTACCAACAGAACTGTGCTGCAGAAAAAAATTAAAGTCCATTGTTGACCAGGTGTTGTGGCTTTGAAAGAAAAAATGCAACTCACAAACATTTATAAAACATTTATTTGCAGAAATCACTCAAGTTAAAGTCATTGATTAAAAAACTCATTTGGACGAGCTTGAAGCAGCTTTCTCACATTCCGTATCTGTAGCAAACAGGACACTTCATGTTTGTCATTTGATTCTAGTAAAACTATATCATATAAATGTACAAATGTTGACCAAATAATGACATACAAAAGAAACTATATCACAATACCGTTTTCAGACATGTTGACGTCTCCTGTGTCTTGTTTGTTCTAAAAATAAAATTAAATCAGACGTTATTCAAAGGCACAGTAATGAGCTATTTCAGTGTCATCGTTGCAAACATTAATAATAAATGCATCTGCACTTCTTTTGGATTCTCAAAGACGCATCACATGTCGTTATTCTTTCACTACATACACAGTGGTGATCAAATATAGCCCCAGCTGCCCTGGGGCACACTGAGAGAACCGAGGCAACAAGTCGGTTCCATTGGCACATGGGATCTGCCTCAAACAGACGAGATCTTTGACGACGAGATCAACTCTCAACTTTGATTCTGAACTTTTAATTTTTTCAAAAATCCTTGTGTCTGACCATAACAGCAGCTCACAGAGACAATGAAATGGTAAATTGTAAAAATGTGATCTTTTACAAATTAAATACACTTACCATACTTGTGTAAACATCTGAAGCTCCTAGTTTCTCATATCCATCACTATGAAGCTCCAAATCTGTCAGAAATCCACAAGTTTTAATCATTAGGTCTACAAATGAAACTAAGTACAATATCTAGCTTCCCTTTACCTGGGCCTTGTGAACTGAAAAAACAGTCAAAGAATTAATACATTTTCTTGTTAATAATACATAAAATATTTTAGATCAATCGAATTGGTTGCTCTGAATACTTACGCTGTGACGTCACGTTTGCCTAAAGAAAGAAACAAGTTTTAATGAATCAGTTTTGTCTGATTGTTACAGAGGAGACTGAAGGTTCGAGTTTCTCACCTTTGATTCTACGTGAGCAGAGAAAGCCCAGAACTGTCAGGACACTGCCCGTCACCAGACCACAGGACACCAGCAGGACCAGGAACCAGGTGGAGAAATCTGTTTGAGAGGGGATGTGCTTTAATACATACACAAATACCAAATACCCAGGGGAGGGTCATCTCACTTCTGGCCCTCCCCTGCTTTCCCCTTCACCTCTAATCTCTAAATGCTCTGCCGCACAAATGCACAGACACAAAATAGAGGTCAAGCTGTTTTAATAGAATCAACAAGCACTTTGAAAATGAAATACGAGAAAACAGAAAGTGGGGAAACTTATCTGCATTATTTTTTCAAGGCTAAGTGGTCAAACATAAAGTGAAAACAAATGTAGTCAAAATGAAGTGAACTGACCTGTAATGCAGTGGACACCCCGAAGAGGAGTCTCTTTGTCTGTGGTCTTTGTCACCGGACGGTCCAGAGAGAGATTGTTCTCAGAGTCATTGTGGAGTGGAGAATAATAATATCTCTTAAAGTCTGCAAAGAAAACAGTTCATCAATAAAAACATTTGACTTTTCATTGTATATAGATCATTTTACCTGATAAGTTGTAAAAGTCACGATGAACCTGGGAACCATCTTTGTAAGCGTTAATGTAATCACAGTTGATGATTTTTCTCTTGTCGTCATTAAAAAGGGTCAAAACTTTAACCTCTGCAATATAAAACTGGCAAATCATTCGGTTATTTATCATTTGTCCATTGGAGGAATATGTGTACGTTCCAAAATCCAGTTGACAGGAGTAAAGGTACGGAGTAGAGACAGGAGCAGTGCAGTTCACCAGAACCCCCTTGCCATGTTTTTCTACGGTAATTTGTGCTTTTGCACCTGAAAGAAAAATATACATTTATGTAAAGAAGCGGTCACATGATAGTTTAGTGTCTTTGTTTTATCAAACCAAACAGTAAAGCAGCCACAGTTACTACAACACTACTCTACTCTATCCTTCCTTACCGTACTCCCTACTCTACTCTACTTTACCCTAGATCAGTTACACCAAGTACCACCTCAGAAAATACTTGCCTCTCCAAGTACCACTACAAATGACCAACACTACACAGTTGTGAGTAAGCCTAAGTCAGGTGTCTCCAACCTTTTTCACCCAGAGAGCTACTTTCCCAGGACGATAAAGGCAGAGAGCTACTCTTTTAAGCCCTGGGAAAAAATTGGTGATATTTTGGTGTGAACAAGCCTGATTTTGAGTGCAGTCAGTATTTATCATTGCATATTTTCTACTAGTGCACTAAGTAAGTGCATTTACAATAATAAATAATTGTAATGAATAAAACAATTTGAAATATCCTTTAGATTATTTTATTTGTTCATTTCTAAATCCTTTGGCGAGCTACCTGGAAGGGGGTGGCGAGCTACTGGTGGCTCCCGAGCTACAGGTTGGAGACCCCTGGCCTAAGTATTCATCAAAAACAAGGCAGAGGTTTCAGTCCTAAAGAAGAATATATAATGTTGTCAGCCATTGTAACATTTTACACAGTTTAAACAGTAAGACTTAATTAAATATAACTGTAACTGGCGTTGCAACACTGACATTTCCCCACTGTGGGGCTAATAAAGGGTCTCTTAATCATGTGGGAGTGGCACAATGTAAGAAATTAGGGCAAAATTACACAAACAAAAATCTGCAAAACTGAGGCTGCGAAAGATGAACCCTGTTGTAGAGAGAGACCACTGTACTCTGTAGAAACGATCGAACATACAGGTGCAAATGGTGTCATTAAGTATAATTCAATCACATTTATTCAATATTATTATTCTTTAGTAATTGTCACATAGGAGAAGGTTGTCGATTCCACATCAACAGATCATAGAATTGGCTCGAACACAGAAAATCCAATAATAACAAACACGTACAAGATATTGGTCAGTTGATAGTATGGGGCAGTTAAATAAATACTGTTCAAAATGCACAAAAAACAAGATTAATTTCAACGTTCAATCTTTTATGCAGTGTTCTGTAAATACACAGGAAAGTTTGTCGTCCATCTGTCCCTTATCATCTCGATAATACAATACACACATGTTCTTTCATAATAAATATTGTATACTCACTCATGAACAAGAGAAGCAACAGACACAGAGCCATGCTGACCAGACTGCACCAGACTGCACCAGACTGCACCAGACCATCAGGCCTTTCTGGTTTTAAGAGCTCCGGAAAACCATCACAACTACTTTTGAGAAACCGTGAGAAACTCTTCACAGCGACCACAGAAGCACTCGTCTTTTGACTTTAATAGAATGTCTGCATTGGTCTTTAAATATACACTGATTCTAATGCTCAATATGTACTCGACTGTGTGATCCAAATGACCAGGAGTTTCATGAACCAGAAGTCACTATAAGACCATGTGTAACTTCAAACAGAGTCATAGAGAACGTTGTCAACCATCCCAGAGTTCGGTTCATCCTGGATCGTACAGTACACATGGTACGGGTCGCTCTGAAAGACAAGACAAAACTGTAAGACGCTGCAGCTTGAGTACTGACTAGAACCAGGAAGTACCATCACATTAGTCCTGACTAGAACCAGGAAGTACCATCACAATAGTCCTGACTAGAACCAGGAAGTACCATCACAATAGTCCTGACTAGAACCAGGAAGTACCATCACAATAGTCCTGACTAGAACCTGGAAGTACCATCACAATAGTCCTGACTAGAACCAGGAAGTAGCATCACATTAGTCCTGACTAGAACCAGGAAGTAGCATCACATTAGTCCTGACTAGAACCAGGAAGTAGCATCACATTAGTCCTGACTAGAACCAGGAAGTACCATCACATTAGTCCTGGTCTCAAGTCTCTGCTTCTTGTGGCTCCGAGAATAGACTTTAAATCATCTCTGTTTGCTACAAGTCTGAGCCATGGCCTCAAGGTACATCTGTGAGCACAGGGACTGGCCTCGTGCTGGTCCCAGAGTCAGGACTAAATACTTCATGTGACACAGGCTTCCTCTCTGACTCTTTTCAAATCCAGGTTGGGAACAGTTCTGTTGAGCTGTAACTGAAGGACTGTTTCTTTAATCCTTTTTGCTGTGAATTTTATGTTTCTTTCTTGTTTTGTTCAGCACTTTCTGTTGTGTATGAACTGTGCTTTACAAATAAACTTGCATTTTTGTCTGTTTTAAATAATAATAATAATAATAATATTTATTTGTATAGCACTTTTAAAAACAATGTTTACAAAGCGCTGCACAGTCAGCATGATAAACAATAAAAACAGTCATAATACAAGGTCAGAATAATTAGATACAGAAACACAAAGCAAACAGAGCAAAACACAAAAGAGACACAACAAAGACAAAGCAGACATTAAAATACAGCATATGAAGTTTAAAACTAACAGTTAAAAGCTGTTTGAAAAAAGTGGGTTTTAAGAAGTGTTTTAAAAGAGGACACTGATGGTGCTAGCCTTATCTCCTCGGGCAGGTCGTTCCAAATCCGAGGAGCCCGGACAGAGAAGGCTCGGTCACCTTTCGTCCGGAGCCTCGACCTTGGAACAGTCAACAGGGACCTGCCCGAGGATCTAAGGCTGCGGGGGGGCTCGTAGGGGGTTAAAAGTTCAGAAATATAGCTTGGTGCCAGACCTAAACGAGCTTTAAAAGTAATCAGTAAAATCTTAAAATCAATTCTAAAACTCACAGGAAGCCAGTGGAGGGACGCTAAAACAGGGGTGATGTGCTCCCTTCTGTTAAAACCAGTGCGAAGTCTGGCTGCTGCGTCTGGACCAGTTGGAGGCGGGAGAGGGATTTAGCGTCGAGACCGGAGAGGAGGGAGTTGCAGTAGTCGAGGCGGGAGAAGATGAGGGCGTTGACAACTTTATGGAGATCGGGAGGAGTGAGGATGTATTTAATCTTTGAGATTGTGCGGAGGTGATAGAAGCAGGATTGGGTGGTTTTATTGATGTGGGAGCGGAAAGTGAGGTGAGAATAAAAAATGACACCAAGGTTACGGGCGGAGGGAGTGATGTTTGAGGACAGGGGGCCGAGGTGGGTTTGGATGTGGGATATAGATGGAGGCGGGTTGATGAGGAGGACTTCTGATTTGGAGGTGTTGAGTTGAAGGAAGTTGTGGGCCATCCAACGGTTCACATTGTTAAAACAGTCGACCACAGCAGACAGACTTCCAGGGTCGTTTGGTCTCAGCGGGAGGTAGATCTGTGTGTCGTCCGCATAGCAGTGGAAGGACACGTTATGACGGGCCATAACGTGTCCTAGGGGGAGCATATAAATAGAAAATAAAATGGGACCTAAAATAGAACCTTGCGGCACACCACAGGTAATGGGGGCTGTAGAGGAGGTAAAATCACCCATGGTGACCGCAAAGGTTCTGTCTAAAAGATAAGAATGAAACCAACCAAGTGCAGTATCTCTGATGCCAACCCACGTTTTGAGGCGATCCAATAAAATCCTGTGGTCGATCGTGTCGAAGGCTGCGCTTAGGTCTAAAAGAATTAAAATAGAGCACCCTCTGCTGTCTGATGTGGTTCTCATTAATAAAATCTAAAATTTGAATTGAAACAATTTTCTCTAAAACTTTGGATAAAAAAGGAAGTTTTGAAATGGGTCTAAAATTGTTAAAATCAGTAGTGCTTAAATTAGGCTTCTTTAAAAGTGGCTGGACCACAGCATGTTTAAAACTGGATGGGACAAGACCTTGATCCAGGGACTGATTAATGATTGATAAAATGGAGGGTCCAACCACATTAAAAACATCTTTGAGAAATTTGGTGGGGATGACATCGAGGCTGCACGTGGTTTGTTTCATGTGGAATAAAATGTCAGATAAAAGAGAAAGGGATAAAGGCATAAAATTAGTAAAACAATTAAAATCCAGAGTTTCTCTGTGTCATTAAGACCCATAATAATAAACTTGGCCCATTTGGGCCAGTGATGGGCCCAGACAGCATTCACAGCAGCCTGAACAAACCCAGTCCAACAAGAACACATGGCACGCCTAACTTTCCATTTCTTCTTTCTGCTTGTCTCTCGGATGATTCGGATTTAAGCAAAAAACGCCGCAGTCTGCGTAGACCTAAGGTTGTGATCTCATATCCTCTTAATTTGTCTGTGAGATTTTGAAGAGATTGATTTCATTCCAGTCTGGCTTTTGTGCGGTCATGATGCATGGAGCAGGCAGGTGTGCAGAGGAGAGAAAGAGAAGGAGGACCATGAGCAAAAAGTGGCCGTAACAAAGGAAGAGAAACTCTCTGCATTATCACTTGGATATTCCTTGGTATAAAATAATAAATAACAAAGAGATTGTTTGATGTTCATGGTGCTTCACAGCCATGAAACCGACCTTCATCCACAACCAGCACCCTGGATCTTGGAGATCCAGATGAACCAGGAAATGTTTTTTCTGCCAAAAAGAATCTTTGAAACCCTAATGGGGCGTTCAAACCAGATCATGCGTTACAGCAACTTACATTTTCAATCGCAAATTCAATGGTGACGTGCGTTCGAGCGTGGAACTGCATGTACGTAACGCACGCGACGGACCTGGTTGGCGCGAACATATGCCTCCAGCCTGATTTCTCATTCTCTATTGAACTGTAACCCAGTGCAGCTAGCGTGTATATGCTGATCGCGAAAGTATCCGTTATAAAAATTAAAACAGAACCGTATGGCGCACCTCCTTGAACACATACTGCTTGTTATAAAAGTCCTTTGGAAGGTCTCTGTACACAGGGACACTTGGAGAAGAACTTTACACAACAAAAAGCTACTAGCTTAACTTCGTTAGCACCAAAGCAGGACAACCCCCTGGCTCTAAAATTTAGAAAATATGGGGTCAAGAGGAATGCTGTGTTCCAGCATTGGCGGTCATGAACGCCCATAACTCTAATAATAATTATAATGATATAATAAGAATAATAATGCATCGGTTCTATATATAGCAGCGTTTTGACACTCAAAGACGCGCTTTATAAGTAATTATTCTTTCACTCCATACCCGGTGGTGAAAACTACTACATTAGCCACAGCTGGCGCTGGGGCACCACTTGTCAGAAGTGAGGCAACCCATATGTGCCATCACCCCACCGGCAACCACCAGCTATTACACCAAACGAGGCAGACTCATTCTAGGCAATGGGGTGAGTGTCTGCTAAGGATATAAACACAACGTAGTTTGGCACTTTTATCAGCCACCCACCCTGAGGCATCAGGTGTTCCCAGCAGTTAAGTGCATTTGCCAAGGCCACAACGACACGCAGACATCAGTGGAATCGGTGGAGAAAGTCTTGTGTGGGGCTCGAACTCCACCGTTACAAACAGCGGCCTCTAGCGGCAGGGGTCAGCATACCCGGCTCTTCAGTGCCCCTCGAGTGGCTCCCTGCATCTAGGGGTGATAATTTTATTTCTAGTTTCAATGTGGTTCTGTATAGGAGGAAACAACATTCTTAACGTTTTCCTAATGCGTAAAAGTGTGCGATAAAAATATGAATTTCACATTTCTGTCACGGAGATTTGCTTAGGGCGACAGTAGCTTCAGTTGGGTAGAGACATTGGCCTTCAGGCCTGAAGGTTGTTAGGGTTCAATTCCCAACCTATACAACTTCCCACCGCTCCCACTGATGACTGCTGCGTTGTTGTCCTTGGGCAAGACACTTAACCCCACTTTGCCCAAAGCCCGCCACTGAACAGGTGGAGTCCACAGGAGGATATGTAATGGTAACAGTTAATAGATAATATCCGTCATAGAATTACCTCTACTATGAAAGACAAAATGAGAAAAACCAGGACAATAGTGTCAAGATGAGGATGAATGAGGACAAGTAACATGAGATTTTGAGGGGAAACGACCATCCATCAGCAAGGGCTTGAAGACAAAATGTGGCTGGGTCTTTCAACATGACAATCACACATCACCCAGGCAACCAAGCATTGCCCTCTGTGGGTGGAGTTGAAAGTCTGTGTTTGACAGCGATATCTTCAAACACAGTCATCAGTCCCACTGATGACTGCTGTCGTTGTGTCCTTGGGCAAGACACTTAACCCCACTTTGCCCAAAGCCCCCACTGAAAGATCAAGGCTATGCTCACACTCAGAGAGTCAGTGAGGGGCTGGTGCTATGAGACTTGGGTGGCATCTCTGACTGCCACCCCCCTGAGCCAGAAATGGATTAAACGGTAGAAAATGGATGGATGGATGGATCTTCAAAACATTGCTACTCTAGAAGAGATCTTTATGGAGGAATGGGCCAAAATACCAACAACAGTCTTTGTAAACATTACAGGAGACTCATTATCATCATTGTCATTATTTTTACACATGTGACTATAAGATGAGTCTGACGTCTCACTAAGATGTGTCAAAGTAACTGCAACAATCATCAATTTATCCAAAAAACTTGCATCTGAACATGTATTTACTTCACCAGGTTTGAGGATCTCTGCTTCATGCTGCAGGTGTCGGGTGATTCCTGAGTCTGGGGTCTTCACAGGTGGAGCTGTTGTGGTGTCGATGTTAAGTGGGAAATATTGTTTCTAGGGCTGTCAAAATTATCGCGTTAACGCACATTAATTAATATTTTTCATTAATCGCGCTAAAAAAATTAACGCATTTGACGCATGCCCATGCGTCCCATAATAGCACTCAGAATGCCGCGGACACATGCGTGTGTAAGATGGGGACAGAGCAGGTAGGCCCTCTGGGAATTCAAGTTTTGAAAGAATACACGCTTGACCGCGAAGCACTTGTTGTTTCCTGTATGAACTCTGCATGATGAGCTGCGGGCGCCACAGCGCTCTGGACCGTTCCCACTTCCAGCGGCTGTGATCACGGCGAACGGCGCTGCGTAATGGGATCATTTCCAAGACCACGCACAGAACTATTACAGAACTATTCTCTAGTGTGCGTACGTGTCTTTGCGTAACCGATGCACACAATATGTACAGCGCTGAAGCTGGACTGTGGAGCCTCAGTCTCCTCCGTGTCTTCTACCAAAGCGCACTCGCTAAATTAAAGCTGAGGTACCTAATTTTCCTTTCGACCATCAGTTCATGTTAAATTATGCCAAAAAAAGTAATGATGTGAGCAAATCAAACAGATTTAATGACATTCTGCATTTCAGACTGTTTTGAAATGTCCCTCATCTGTAACAAACAATGGTTTTGGTCTGAGTCTAAACAGAAAGACAGAATGTTAATTCCATTTTATATGGATTTATTGTTATAACAAACAAATACAGTACATATGTTCACTATGCTGTCATTTATCTTTCCATTCAAACAACCATTTACAGAATAATATGGCATAATTTTGCCAATAGTTTGAAATGTGATTAATTACGATTAATTAATTTTTAAGCTGTAATTAACTCAATTAAAAAAATTAATCGTTTGACAGCCCTAATTTTTTCATGAATCCTTCAAAACAAAACATGACATTAAAGGAAAATACACATTATTTATCAATCCGTGTACCCTTCGATCATTAGTTATTCTGTTTCAAAATAAAATCAGAAAATCGAAATTTCCATTTGTTTATTGTTCTTTTCCTTTTCTAAACTTGAATAAAAAAATAAATCCTTTATGCTTCAATATCAATGTGTTTGTTTTGGCTCTAGGGGTTTAAAATTCTCAAAAGAATTATGGCATTACTATTATTTCGTTTTATTATTATTTGCGACACCGGAAAAGAGAAGAGACCTCGCGGAGGGGGGGCTACAGACGCGGGGGTGGAACCCAGGGACTCCCCTGGTCCCGGGGTACCCGCGTTGTGAATTTGACGCGCGGGGAATAAAGGACCAGAAAGTTATGGCCCTTGGAAACCACCGGGGGACCGCGCGTCTGCCATCCGCCCAAGAGCGCTCATTTTGGGGGAGGAGAAGCTCGGCTTCCAGGGCTTGTCAAAAACGAACCAGGGGTGCTAGAGACACGGGGTTTTCACCCACGCACTCCTCCGGTTCTGGGCTATCACCGGGGAGGGCTTTGCTCCCGCGCAGACCCGGGCCTGAGCGCTCATTCCCGGGGGAAGGAAGCCCGGCTTTCCGGGCTCCTCAAAGTCGAGCCAGGGAGGGTAGAGACACGGGGGTGGAACCCAGGGACTCCCCTGGTCCCGGGCTACCCACGGTGTGAATTTGACGCGCGGGGGACAAAGGACCAGAAAGTTATGGCCCTTGGAAACCACCGGGGTGACCGCGCGCCTGCCATCCGCCCAAGAGTACTCATTCTGGGGGAGGAGAGGACCGCAGCAGCAGGGTCAGGAGGCATGCTGCTCCATACCCCCGTGCTTACGGCCATACCACCTTGAGAATGCCCGATCTCGTCTGATCTCGGAAGCTTGGCAAGGTCGGGCCTGGTTAGTACTTTGATGGGAGACCGCCTGGGAATACCAGGTGCTGTAAGCATTTTGCCCCTGGAGCTCGGGCCTGGGGGCGAGCGCAACAACAGCGCGAGTTGTTGTCGTGTAGTTGAGTTGAGTTGAGTGCAGCTTGCAGTTGTTTCCGTCTCTCACCACTTATCATTTCCGGTAGCATATCAAACAAAATAATGGAAGTTGTTTTAGTAGTGTTTGTTTCCACTGCATAGCAAAGAAATGGGTGAATATTTTATTTAGAATGTTTTGATTTTCCAATTTAATTTAGAAAATGGAAATACAATAAAACAACCGCGTAATTTGTTTTTCTGATTTTATTTTGAAACGGAATAACTAATGATCGAAGGGTACACGGATTTTTATCGCTGTATCCATGTGTTTCTAATGTTACCAGCCAAGTCGTACTGTTCACTGCGAGGATCCTGAGAGGAGCCACAGCTGAGGACTTTACTCTGGACTTTATGGAGATGTGTCAAAAACTCCTCATCAGGAACAGAAAACATGCAAAACCATGGTCCTTTACTGTTCCCGGAGCGTGATGTTTTGGTTGAATACGACTGTGTGGATTCTCCAAAATACAGGTGACATTTGGACTCAGATGAAGGTGAAGAAGGCAGTGTGCAGGTCACAAGAACATCCTCCTCTGATTTAATAAGACCAATGTTTGGTTTTGCTCCTAAAAGAAAATCATTGTAAAAAATACAAATTTATAATACAAAGTCAATGTAAAGAACTTAATTACCTCGAGCTGTGACTTCAACAATTGCATCTGTTTGGAATAAAGTATAGTGACGTTTCTTGTTATAGCAGCAAACACACAATATGAAGCTACAGTTTTAATTCTAAACTCACAAAACTAAAAAGTTTTGTAGAGATTTTACATGTGATCAGTCCGGTATACTCAAAAAGATAAGATGGATTTTATTGATCTCACACAGGAAAAATGTACATGTCACATTTGGCAGGGATAGAATCTCTCAGATGTGTACAAAGGACAGAAGTGTGCAAACATGTTAAAGGCAGAAAATAAAAGTTAAAATAAAAGTGTATGCTTTGCTTCACACTTATAAATAGAGTTAATGAGTCATCAGAGGCTAAAACTACAGGCTTCAGCTTCAAGAGTCCAGCCACTTCCAAAGTGTTCCCAAAGTAAAACCATCACAACATCTCAGTTGTTGAATCAATAACTTTGAAAGAGCCTCAAGCTGTGTTTGTACAGATCTGAATACTGCATGTATGATGTGAGGAGGAGAAAAAGATATTTGATCATAAATGTGAACTCACAGAGGAAGAGGATGAGCAGACGTGTGTCCATGCTGCAGGCGACAGTTCAGAGTCAGAAAGAACTCAGCTCTGACTTTAGACAGAGGAAGTGGGAGACCACCTCAAAGCAGTTGATGATAATAATGCATTGTTTTATACAGAGTGAGACCAAAAGTTTCAATAATAGGACTCTTTTATTGCATTTCTGTCATTAACAAAATCCACACGAACATTAAAATCACCTTTGAGTTTGAGCAGAGGAAGTGAGAGACCACCGCAGCCTAAAGCAGTTGTTGATAATAATGTATGGAGTTTTTACAGCTCTTTTTTTGGGCTCTCAAAGAAACTTTGCAAGTCACTGTTCATTCACTTCCTACACAGCGGTGATAAACTACTGCTCTAGCCACAGCTGACACATGGCAACTTTCACCAATGGGAGCTGTTTTCCCACCCATAGAAAAAACTCAAACACACTTTATAGTATTTTTTTTATTTTTTATTATCTATTTTAATACATATCTTTTACCTTGTTTTTGCTCAGTATTAAATTAAAATTTAAAATGCTCTAAATATATTACAACATTTCATAGATTCTCTCCCTATAGCCGACAGAAGCATGAAATGTCCTGGTTTGAATTGGCTCCACATTTTACACATGTGTATGATTTTTGAACATTGACTTTTGCATGGGAAGTGTTGCATAATGTGGTTTCTGGACATTCTCCAGATGCCATCACAGGGGTGCACCTTAACAGGTCTGTGTGGAGCTGCGGGCCACAAACGCACCAACGACTAATTTGACTGGATTCATGACCTCATGATTGTCCTCTACCACTGAACAAAAAACCACAAACTTTTACTGTAGAAATATTGATTTAAAGTAGCCATTTTGGTCCAAAATACCTCCAAAATAGTCAAAACATGTCACTTTTGATCTACTGTAACTTTTTACTGTAAAAAGGTGTGCGACTAATTTCACTGGATTCACGCCCTCATGATTGTCCTCTACCACTGTACCAAAGACCAGAAATTTTTACTGTAGAAATATTGATTTAAAGTAACTATTTTGGTCCAATAATGGTCAAAACATGTCACTTTTGATCTACTGTAACTTTTTACTGTAAAAAGGTGTGCGACTAATTTCACTGGATTCATGACCTCATGATTGCCCTCTACCACTGTACCAAAGACCAGAAACTTTTACTGTAGAAATATTGAGAAACATTGACGTAAAGTAGCCATTTTAGTCCAAAACATGCCACTTTTAATCTACTGTAAAAAGGTGTGCGACTTATTACACTGGGTTCATGACCTCATTAGTGCCCTCCACGACAGTACTGACGACCAGAAACTTGTACTGTGGATTATTTTTGTGTCTTGTTTTATGAACAATGTTACTGTAATTTCTGGAGATTAAAAATATTGTTTTTTCAGTACATATGAATTAAACTTACATTCTTCTAACGGTTTTCAAAATGTGAGAGTTTTTATTAAATCAAGTGTGCATTGTTGGCTGCATTAGCAAGCCTGAGCTGTCACAACAGGTTTTTCCTTTTCCTGTGCTGCTAATTATTTTAGATGACCATTTTATATTTAATAATATAAAATATAAAATAATAATCAGTATTATTACGCCTTGACACAAATCAACAGAATTAGAACATGCATCTTTATCACTATTATAATTTACTATTTAACAAAACTATGTTATACATATTATAGTATTTAATTTACTTATATATTGTTGTATATGTCTTTACTATCAAATCCTGATTGGACTTTACATGTGCTGATGTCTGGGAAGCGGCTTAGGCGACTCTTGTAATATTGGACGATACCATAAAAAATATATTTTGTTTACTTCAACGTTCTACCATACAACTACTGACCTGGCCCTGCCTGCTTTGATTCAAGCAGTGACAGTGTCCTCTGCTGCACAGGTATGTAATTGTTGGCTGCCCTCTATCGACTGAATGGAGTATAATAATTATTAGTCATTACTTTCTTCAATCCGGACATGGATAATCTAGAGATGTATTTATTTTAAGTATTTATTTATTCTAATATTTTGGACAGATATACAATTATCTTGACCATTTCCTCGCATAGCATAAATCAATACGTAGTGCACCATTTTAATACTGCATTTGATTGGTTCTAAATGAACGTCAATCAAGCCAGAAACTACGTAAAGAGGCCCGATGTTTTCAGCTGACCTTTAGCCCAGTTGACCTCGTCTCTTCTAATTGACTTTCAGAGATAATAGATGTTACGCTTATTACGCTTGTTAGTATCAAAAATATTTCACTACAGACCTTAAGCCGTATGTTCGGTAAATATTTCGCTTAGTAGGCCTGTGGTTGTGCACGTGCTCAAAAATTCTGTCGACAATGAACCAGAGAGGTAAGCTAATTAGCATTTAGGACTACTGTAATAGCAACATTGCAGATAGTTATTCTGCAGGTATAACATAGTATGTACATAAAGAGTACTGAATTATATTTTCCCGGGGAATTTGTAATATGCTTTTATTATTTTAGTAATATATAATATTTTTTGTGATAATTAATATCTTACCAATGATATATGATATATATAGATGTGAGGCTAGCATCTACTCTGGCAATTTTTAAATCAGGGCTAAAAACTGTTCTTTTTAGCTGTGCATACGGCTGAAGGATTTTATTGATACATACTCTTTTTTTTTAATGCATTGTGGTTATTTATTATTTTAATCCCGTGTGTGCTTTTAATATTTTAAGTATTTTTTTTTTTTTTTTTTTTCCATTACTTGTGATTTTATTCTGTTTTTAATGTATTTATTGATGTATCTGATTTGTGTGATATTATGTGGGTTGTGAGGCGCTTTGAGTGGCCTTGTGTTGGAAAGGCGCCATACAAATAAAGTTGATTGATTGATTGATATGCTGGTTTATAAGTTTGGAATATATAGGCTTATATGTGTAAGGCCTTAGTAGTCTATCATAAATTTACCTAATAAATCGAGTATATTTATTACAGAAACATATCAATATTTTATTGCTAATTGCCAACACTGATAGCTACATATTGAAAAATATTGGCAAAATATGCAAACAAAAAACCTATAAATTACATCTCACATATCATTACAAGCTTATCCTATCTTCAGATTAAAGTATCAGACAAGACTTCAGATTTGTTTATAAAATACATTATATTATGTCCTTTTCCTTGTTCTCAATGTGGTTTACTTCTCTAAGCTTTGCTTTGCACAGTATGCTATTCACGTAATTTGTTAGTATTGTGTTTATTGTAGATGAATAATATTTGGTGTAGTTCACAATATTTACATTCAAATTTCAGATTCTGCTTGTTTTCCGTTTTTGGAAAGGTAAGAGGAAATTACTTCACAATGCATTTACTGAGGATGGTGGATAATGTTTTACTGTGTGGATTTCATTCACATGTTTTGTTTATTAATAGACAAGAAGAATAAAGAAAACCCTAACACAAATAAGAGTCGCTTTAGCGAAAACAGTTCAGCCAGGAGAGGTGGTACATCTTTGGACTCCATATTCAAAGGACGGTCGCCTGGCAGAAATATGCCTGTTACTGGAAGTCCCAAATACCAGAAATAATCGGCAAAAGATAATTAAGATTATCAAGGTACTGTCTATTTTTTGTTTTTCATCTTTCAGGGTAGATGATCACGCGACATCAAAACCGTCCTCTGGTAGTCACTGCAAATAACGTCAATGGTTCAGGAAGGTTGAAAGCAGAGTGGGGCACACCTGGGACGCTAGGCAGTGCTGATGAGCCCTCTGGAGGTGTAGTGGGCCTAACATTGAAACACCGGTGAAGGAGGGTGCCCACCCCAGTGACGCTTTCAAACACACACATCTTATATCATATTTAAGTTGGGCATCAGTGGAGAGAAGAGAGAAAAGGCAGTCCTGTGGCATAGATCCATGGTTTTCAACGCCTGGGCGTTACCCGCTATGACGTCACACACAGGTTAGAGCTTAGACAACTTAAATTCATGAAAAACACGTTTTTTTTATAAAATATAGGAATTTTTTTGCCGGGATCTATTTTAGATCGACATTGTCATGCAATTTTGATACCCACAATATTTATTTTTTTAACCCGGCATAAGGTCTTTAACTCATTCACTGCCCATGACGACAAAAGTCGTTCTATTGTATAGTAACGCTCACTGCCCAAGACGAGTTAGACGACTTTTTTGTGTTATTACACGGGAGGCTACAGTAATGTCTGGCGCACCTTGTGAATGACCCACAATACTGATATATAGTGCAAATGTACCTGTAATGATAAATCAACACCAGTAGGATGCAGTATTGCACCACAGGAGAGGTGGTGCAATACTCACCACCAATAGTCAGTGGAGAGAAGGAGGAGGAGTGTGGGAGTGTTTGGAGAGCGTGCTGCTGTAGCAGAGCGAGCGATGATAGCGTAGCATTGAGACGGATCAGCGATCTAGTTTAGCGATAGTATAGCAAGAGTGATGGCGAAAAAGAATAGTTATAAGCAGTGTTCACTGCTTCAGAGATTGACTCGTGGATCAGTGAGTGAGGTCGAGAGGGGAGAGAGTGGAGACCCCGGTGGAGGTCCGTCTCTGCAGCTCAGAGCCCGGAGCAGGGACACACCTTCCGCCTCTCGCAGCGTATCAGCTGCTGTTGTTACTGATGCCTTGGATTCGTTCAGAGAACCTGATCATGATTTATCGGATGAGTGGTTGCAGACTCAATCCAGCAGAGCATCCTCTCCAGAAGCTCCACAAAGAGTCGAAGGTAAGAACTTGCTAAATTGCCTAGAATATGCTAACTTGAGAGGAGGGAAAGGCGCGGAAACTTGCTTTGATCTGCTAAGTAACACAGCGCTCAAATCCTACTGTTTCTTTAGTAAAGGCCAGTTATGCGTTTTATCATTGTTGTATTTATTATTCTTATGTTTAGTTATTTCATACTTGAACATCTTTTTGCAGTGACATAGCTCTGACTAAATGAAATGTGTTCTCCATTCACAGATTCTGATAAAAGAGCCCTCCCCCATTGGGGTTGACAGGGCATGGAGGTAAAGATGATTCCTCCTCATACCATTGTACATATTATTGTATATATTCTCCTGGTATAGTGATTTACAAATTTATATTATTTACAGGTGGTGCATCAAGAGGCAGTTGCTGTGCACAAAAAAGGTAAAAGAACTACTATTTCTATTCTTGTACATCCCATGGCAATATAATATAATAATACTATAGTATACTGTGTTTGGTCCAAAAGTAGTCAGTTGATAATGTGGGAGGAAGGCCTTCATTGTATTTTATGTATTGATTTATTGTAACAAATTCACTGTATAATATAGTTATTGTGTGTATCCATTTTCCAGCACGTTCGTCACCCAGAAGCTCTGGGGAAGATGGCTGACAGGAGGATCAGTGGGAGCCGAGTCAGTTGCCTTTCGCAGGAGCTCCTGGACCACAGAGGCTGCGGACAGAGGCTGCGAAGCTGGATTCATCTGATCCAGACTTTCTGGAGCTGGATTCATCTGATCCAGCTGACTTTCTGGAGCTGGATTCATCTGATCCAGACTTTCTGGAGCTCTTCTTCACGGAGGGAGAACTACAAATGGTACACAGCGTGTCGTGTTCCGTTGCACACAGTGTTTCAACCTCTACAACTCAAAGCTGAACTACTGGGAGGACTGAAAAAGCAGATAAACTCACTCATACACACACTCACGAACACTCACACGCACTCACTCACGCGCACACAGACACACACGCACAGACACTCACTCGCACACTGACAGTCACACACACAGACACTCACTCGCACACTGATATTCACACACACAGACGTTTTGGTTGATGGTATAGAAGAAAGTTAAATTTTCTGTCTGTGAATAAATTGCCAACAATTTATAGATACCGACATATGCCCACAATGCACTTCAGGGAGCACAGATACAAACCTGCATGCCACTTGGGACTGTCAACCGGTACACACCTTCTGGATTTCCGTCACGGACAAACTCTCCACCATCTTGGGCTGCAGAATCCCATTAAACCCCGCTCTGTGTCTTCTAGGAGACACTACTCAAACAAACCTCATAAGCAAACACCATGACTCCCTACTCATCTCTCTAACCATCGCAAAGAAAATAATATTCCAAAATTGGAAAAATAAAAAACTATGTAGCATCACTCATTGGACAAACCTACTCATCGACCACATCTCAACAGAAAAAAATACATCCCACAGAGGGGGGCATATATCGGCCTTCAATGAAACATGGGCATCATTCATCGCACATTTTCAGTTATAATTATTAACAAAGCCACTCTCCATCACTATCCAAAAATAATAATACTTACATTTTAATCCTCTATCAGGTGTTGCTTATATCTCACACTCATTTCATTTTTTTTCTTGTTTCTTATTTTTCTTCTCCCTCTCTCCCTTATTTTCTATCTATCCGTTTAAACCCATCTTGACTGTCATTACCGCCAACACCAGTTATCAACTTATTTCACCTTAGCCCCGATCCCAGCCACCGCCACCCTTTGTGTTTTTAATGCACCACACACTAAGAAATTGAAACTTAATAAGGGGAAAATAAATATACATATACACACAACGCAAGAGATTCAGGACACATGAGGAGAACGTGAAGCAGTTCTCTGTGTGTGCATCTTAGACACACACACACACAATCCTTAAAGACAGCAGATTAACAGGCAAAGAAAGTGGAGGCTGGAGTATCTCCTAACTCATAAAACATCAATTTAAATTGTAATAAATAATGTTGGTGTTGATGATCTTTTTAATTGACTTTATGTTTATCTTTTTGATTTATTTTTATTTTATTTTATTTTCCTAGCACGCACGCTTGCACACACACATGCACACACACATGCTCACACACACATCTCCCTCCCTCCCTATATGGTATTGTTTCACGTTCTCTCGATACTCGTTTTTCTTTGTATGTCCCCATGTTTTGTCGCTGCCTCAATGTTTTTTACACACACATGCACGCACACACATATCTCCCTCCCTCCCCATATGGTATTGTTTCATGTTCTCTCAATATCTGTGCTTCTTTGTATGTCCCCATGTTTTGTCGCTGCTTCAATGTTACACACACACACACACACACACGCACACACACACCATTATGTAATGTTTTATGTTGTCTCAATATTTGTATCTCTCTGTATGTCCCCATGTTTTGCCGCTGCTTCAACATTCTTTTTGCCGTCGTACCAATCCTTTTTCACTTTTGTATGTCTATGTGTCACTCTTGTATGTCTATGTATCACTTTTATGTATGTCTATGTATCACGTAATAAAAAAAATAAAAAAAATAAAAAAATGCCAACTATTTGCCATCAAAAGTATTATTTCAGAGTCATGTTTTTATAATTGTTGTAATGGAACAAGTGTGAAGATGTTTTGAGTTGTCACTAAAGCAGCAAAAATGCATCTAAAGTCTCTTTTCTGCTTGATATGTTCCTGTTTACATACAGCTCGTTTCCTGTTTTCTTGCTCAAACCAGGTGTTATGGGTGAAAGTATGCTTTGTTCTATGGCGAATAGCTCAAGAACGGTGAGAGGTAGAAACAAACTGTTTTTTTCAGAGTAAAGCAGAGAGGTTAATCTTTACATCGTTTACATCGTTAATGTTTACATCGTCTAAAAAATGAATATTCTGTGGCACTTCAAAGTTGGGTCAAATCACCTGAAATTGTTGGCAGAATGCACTTCTCAAATCTGAAAATGCCTGGCAGTCAGTGAGTTAAAGCAGCAGTAAGCGATTTTTGGGTGTTAATATACGTCTTAAATATTGATATATTCCAATAGCCATCACTTATATAGAGTGTTTGTACCTAAACACGGATCTCTCAGTCCTTCCAGTCTTCTCCCACCTATATAATAAAAAAACCTCACATCCTATGCGCTTATCCAATGACGAGAGAGCACGCCTTATAAGGGGTTTCTCCCGTGTGTGCACGCGCACTCTTCAAAACAAACATGGCGGAGAAGGAAAAGCCGCCTCCAGCGCTGCTGCAGACTAAATACCATGGCATGGATCTATTAAATACAGGCAAAACGCCAGAAACAGAGGAACGACAAAAAGTAGGAGCAACATGGTGACCAGCTGCATTCATGTTGGCGACCTCTAGCTCCGTGGATTCCTCTCTCCGACTGAACAGGTGAGCATGTTACTCAGTAGTGGCAGTAGTAGTTGTTTTATTTATACATATTGTTGCCTGAGACTGTAATGCGGGCTTTCACCAAGTTAGCTAGTTAAAAATCCCCAGCTGTTGTAGAAATACGGCCGCATTTTGTGGCAATAACTGCGCATTACCTTGGCTTAGCTTTGAGAAACAACAACAGACAACACAACATCGAAGCCTTAGCCCAGCCTCAGCCATCCATAAACTCCGGTCAATTATTAGTTCCCCACATGTACAACATTAAATGACCATATCACCAAAGTTCCCCCGTGAAATGTTGTTAGCATTAGCGTTCACTGTTAGCATTAGCGTTCGCTGTTAGCATTAGCGTTAGCTGTTAGCATTAGCGTTCACTGTTAGCATTAGCGTTAGCTGTTAGCATTAGCGTTCACTGTTAGCATTAGCGTTCGCTGTTAGCATTAGCGTTCGCTGTTAGCATTAGCGTTAGCTGTTAGCATTAGCGTTAGCTGTTAGCATTAGCGTTCGCTGTTAGCATTAGCGTTAGCTGTTAGCATTAGCGTTAGCTGTTAGCATTAGCGTTAGCTGTTAGCATTAGCGTTAGCTGTTAGCATTAGCGTTAGCTGTTAGCATTAGCGTTAGCTGTTAGCATTAGCGTTAGCTGTTAGCATTAGCGTTAGCTGTTAGCATTAGCGTTAGCTGTTAGCATTAGCTGTCTGTAGTTGTGAATATGGTGTGGCTGCTACGATCACTTCTGATCTGTATGAATCGTTTGTTTTTGCCAATAAACATAGTTGCTTGCACTATATATATATATATGTAGGTCTGCATTTCATTCTTCAATGACTAAGTTTTGCAACTTGCACTCTGTATATTAGTTTTATTGTTATAAAAACAATATCTATTTACCTCAAATCTAACTTCCGTGACCACTACATACATTTTTATTATTATGTATTGAGAATAAGTAAGAGTCTTGCTGACTACTACCAAATAAATTATGAGCATGATATAATATAGACATTGTAATAATTTACATGTCTTCATTGCATTCTTTTCTCTGTATCTTTTCCAGTATGGCCTAAATCAATTGGAATGAGGTCTTCAATGTACAAGAGTTCAACAGCCTCCATAATGCAAGTTAAATAACTATTTAAAAAAAAACAATGCCATAACGACTAGATACTTTTCTGCTGACCTCTTCTTTCTCTAGTATTGACTGCGAAGACAAGACTTTGCTTCCAGAATTAGAAGAATGGCCATTGTCATCTCCTGAGGAAGACTTTACACCCCACATTTGTCATGTAGGTTGTTGTGAATGCATATATGGGACGCAGTGATTATGATAATGATGTTGTGATGTGTGTGTCGTTCACCCCTACAGTTGTGTTGCTGCCCTGAGGTCCAAAATGAATATCGATCATGTTCCAGGAGTCAGTGTTGACAAAACTGTCGCTGAGTTTCTTCAACAATCAAGAGGAGTGAGATAATCACTCGACTCCCAAAACAGCCGATGTAAGTGTCTTTCTCTCACAATGCACAGTCTCTCACAGTCCAAATAAACATGTTCAAGGATCCTGTGGATCAGGGGCCACTCCTGGTGATCAATAAATACTGATGTTGTTGATGATGAATATATCAAAGTCATATTTGAGTAGATAAAACTGATGTCTCTTCTATTATGTTTCAAAGGAAAATCTCTGCCAGAGGAAGACTCCAGTTCCTTCAACCTGGGCCCCTGAAGCGTGGCTGTCTGTGCGTGTGACTGTGTGTGCTTGTGGCTGTGTGTGCTTGTGACTGTGTGTGCGTGTGACTGTGTGTGCTTGTGTGTGCTTGTGGCTGTGTGTGCGTGGCTGCTTATGAATTATTTTGAGGAAATGTGTTCAAACAAGCTACAACATAAAGATTAACATTTTGTTAGATATCTCTGATAGTGTTCGCTGCAGCAGCGATGGATAAGGACCTGGATAATAACAGTGTTATTCATTTGAGCAAAAAGTGATAACACAAACGTTGCCTTACCATCACTTGTAATTATTTGTCTTAGTAGGGACATTGTGTATATTTTTCCGGCTATAACTTCAAATCTTCTTTTACATAATAAAGTTTCTTAGACTCGTTACAGACTGTATTTGTTTTCCTACTATAAAACAAAGCACATTGAAAGAGGTGTATGTATTTTTTTTTATTTTGAAATAGTACATCTACAAACATATTTCAGAACTGCAGAGTGGACGTGCACCATGGGGGCCACTGAGGACGTGCACCATGGGGCCGCTGAGGAAAGCACGTTTTCAATGTCTGTTGGCACCTTTCACAGACGCATCAGGGAAAGGATCTGGTCATCAGCTTCTCTGGACAGAGGGCGTTCAATGCTTCCTGAAAGAACCGTTATGACAAATGACTTTATATATTCTGTTACTTGTAGCTTTTCTTTCAAAGTGGTTTCCTTACAGTGTAATAGTGTAACGTAATTAGTTATGACAGTACTTTTGCGTTTCGGACAAGCTTTACTGGAATTGTTTTTCAGTCCCACATCTCACTGTACAGCTCTGATACACTTTGATTTTGTCTTCATTCTCTGAACAATAAGCACATAATACAGATGTTGATTACATCAATAAATGTATCTTTATTTTGTGACATTGAGAAGGCAGCTTCCAGTGAGATGCAGCTTTACTTTCACATAATACATTACTACAGTGTTGTCTATAAAGAACTCCAAATATACAAATTGTGAGGAAATAAGTAGCAGTAATGTATTACTTTAAATAACCTTCATGTAAAGCTTTGTTGTTGTAATGTATATGCATTACATTCATCTAATACATATGCACTGTAACAGATGTTACAGTGCATAATGTTGAGACACGTCACACTGCAATCTGCAACATTATGTTTATCACAACAGTTATCAGTGTACCAACTATAAAAGCAGTATTATTCTATAAAAGACTGGATTGTTTTTATCTCTTTCTTAGTGATGCTATCCTAGCTAACACCAAGCTGCTTCCAGTGTTATAGCTAGGTTACAACTGAGCTATTCTATGCTAATAGTTCACTCCCAGAGTTTGTTGTTAATATACTTAAGGGTAGACCTGACGGAGATGAACATGCTGCTGCCATCACCAAGACGATGCGCGTTCATGTGGTGTGACGTAGGGACGGGGGCGGGGCTACTAACTCGCTCAGGCAGAAGAAACTGCCGGAAACGACCAAATCGCTTACTGCTGCTTTAATAATAGCATGTTAATAATCTGTCTATTTTAGTCTGATGCTGGGAACCTCCCACCCCTCCCTGATTCGTCTGATGAAGACCAAGAGGTACAACGTTAGACAAAGACAAGAAACAAAAAACATAACATTTGTAACATGTTCATGATCATATCATTTTAGACTGACTTTGGAAATAACACCCACAATTCAGCAATATCAGAGGGGAATGATGACACAGAGGTAAGATCAGACAATAACAAGGCAAAGTTTTATAATATCATGTTAATAATCTGTCTATTTTAGTCTGATGCTGGGAACCTCCCACCCCTCCCTGATTCGTCTGATGAAGACCAAGAGGTACAACGTTAGACAAAGACAAGAAACAAAAAACATAACTAGGGCTGGGCGATAAAACGATAACGATATATATCGCGATAGACATGTGTTCGATATCAATAGAGAATGGGGTCGATAGAATGTTCGATAGTTTAACTTAACTCCGTCAGGAAAAACAGGAAGAAAACACCGGAAGTAAAGCCGACTCATAAGCGCATGGCATTGTGGGGGATGTAGGCGGAGGCTTCTCGACCAATAACAGCCGAGCAGGAACCGCAAAACTTTCTGGGAAATGCAAAAACAACAACAACCGCAGCATGCGTGGCGTCCATGGATCTATAGCTCGTGTTTAAATGCCGTGTCAATGGTTATGCACGTACGTGCGCGGAATAACATGTGCGGCGGCAGAGGCAGTGGACAGACCCGATGTATTCGGCGAAAGCAAGAGATTAACTTTTTCCTCGGGAAGCATGTGCGGCACAGAGAGCCACACGGAGCGGCCACGGGGACACAAGACCCTCAAACAGCTAAACCAGGAGCTAAACCAGGAATAAAAAAACAGGATTAAACCAGGACTAACAACGAGGGACACAGTGTGAACATATTCCTCCAGCCTCATCGCCCCGTGACTGTAAACAAGGCTGCTAAGGTTGGTTAGCCCACACCACAAATATATTTATTTAGGTAAAAAAAACACCTCAATATATATCGTTATCGACCGATATGAATGACTTATATCGTGATATAGTTTTCAGCCATATCGCCCAGCCCTAAACATAACATTTGTAACATGTTCATGATCATATCATTTTAGACTGACTTTGGAAATAACACCCACAATTCAGCAATATCAGAGGGGAATGATGACACAGAGGTAAGATCAGACAATAACAAGGCAAAGTTTTATAATATCATGTTAATAATCTGTCTATTTTAGTCTGATGCTGGGAACCTCCCACCCCTCCCTGATTCGTCTGATGAAGACCAAGAGGTACAACGTTAGACAAAGACAAGAAACAAAAAACATAACATTTGTAACATGTTCATGATCATATCATTTTAGACTGACTTTGGAAATAACACCCACAATTCAGCAATATCAGAGGGGAATGAAGACACAGAGGTAAGATCAGACAATAACAAGGCAAAGTTTTATAATATCATGTTAATAATCTGTCTATTTTAGTCTGATGCTGGGAACCTCCCACCCCTCCCTGATTCATCTGATGAAGACCAAGAGGTACAACGTTAGACAAAGACAAGAAACAAAAAACATAACATTTGTAACCCAAAAACATATATAATTTTAATTTTTTCCGACTTCAATCTGATATTTACATAACCCTCCAGGTTATGTAAATATTTGAAAATACGCAACATGTTCAGTTTGCTTGGGTTGAATTACAGTTAATTGAATTATCACCAATATTCCTGTTTCTTTTATTTGCCATTGATTTTGCTTGTTGGCCTTTTCTATTTCTAGGGCTCCGGCTCAAGCCTGAAGAAAGGCACATTTTTTCATTGCAACTTGCCCAAACCACCCCTTTTTTTTTTTGGAGCAAAATGATTGGCAAAAATGGAAAAATTCACGAAAAGAAAAGTATTTTTAAGATTTAAATTGGACAAATTTGATTGCAGCAGGACTTAAGACTGTTCATCCATTTTGCAGTTTTGGATTCAAGAGGCATTTACTGAAAACAACCAAATCTAGACAAACCACCCCATTTTTTTCATGTTTGGCTTACTGCACATTTAAAGACTGTACAGTAACAGCTACAGTCACAGTGCCTACTGCCATCAGTTTGAAGGCCGATGTGACTTTTACTGGTCAAGTGGCTCACAGCACAGAGGAGATAAAATGCCGACCAGTGAGATCAAAGGCAAGACACATTTTAAGTAAAGAACTCCAGGCACAGTTGCCACGATCATTGTACCTGGAGAAATTAGGAACCATTGAGGAAGTAGTGTTTGAGTCAGGTTGTAGGGACGAAGCCCCTGGTCCAAAAGTTTTAAAAAACATCTCTTGTACAGAGAAAAAAAAATCTTTACCTCACCACAATGAAACACTGAGCATTGAATGTCTTTTAAAACAACAAACTGGTGCTGATGGAGACGTACTGCAGAAGGTTTTGCAACATCCTAAAGGCATCATGCTGTGGTCCAAAAAGACTTTGCAGATTTTCCATTCAAGATGCAAAGAGGACATAGTTTACCTTGATGCTACAGGCAGCATTGTGCAGAGGAAGACTCACAAGCCATTTTATGTGTATGAGCTTGTGGTAAGAAACCCTTCAAAAGGTGCCTCACCACTGCCTATAGCGAGTTTTGTAACTTGTGATCACACTACACCATCCATTACATACTTTTTACAGGCATTTATGACAGATGCTATGAGAATGTTTGGGAAAAATGTCTGTAAAAGGCCTGTAATGTTTGTGTGCGAAGGATCGTTGGTTCTGCTGCATTCCATTTCCATAACTTTTTGTCGGCTGACATTGGAAAACCTCCAAATAATAATCCAAAACTTTATTTTTTTTAGAATGACCTGTGTGACACCCCATGGATGCAACATTTCACTGAAGTGATCGAAGGAGCACCACTTGATGTTGGTGGAGATGGAAACATGTTCTACTCGCCAAATTTCATCCCGAGCTTGTTGAGATACTTTTTGCCACATGCGCCTCTGTGGTCTGGATTAATGCTTGGTAAGTGTATTGTAAGGTTTAAAGGAATAGGCCACCGTTTTTACATACTGACATATGTTCTTACCTTACCTTAGACTAGTTGACATGTACCTGTCTGGTCTTTGTCCGTGCGCTCTGTCATGCAAACGGAGCACAAACGCAGCCTCTTCCACATACTGTATAGAAACAAATCAGCTCCCTTTAGAAGCTACCAAACTCTTCCACTTCCTTTTTAAATACGGTTACGTGACGTGTTACTCTACAAAGTATAGTAACACAGAAATGTAACATGTCGATTTTCTCAGCGGATAAAAAGGGGTACTATATTGTGAGGCGTAATAATACTCACGCTGCTTCTATTGACTGAAGTGAGCGGGAGAGAAGTCTTTGGGAGTTAGTGCGCGGACAAAGTGCTCCTCGTATTATTACGCCTCCCAATATAGTACCCCTTTTTATCCGCTGAGAACATCGACATGATACATTTCTGTGTTACTATACTTTGTAGTGTAACACGTCACGTAACTGTATTTAAATAGGGAACACGTGGAAGAGTTTGGTAGCTTCTAATGGGAGCTGATTTGGAACTATACAGTCTGTGGAAGAGGCTGCGTTTGTGCTCCGTTTGCATGACAGAGCACAGACACAGACCAGACAGGTACATATCAACTAGTCTAAGGTAAGGTAAGAACATATGTCAGTATGTAAAAACGGTGGCCTATTCCTTTAAACTGTGATTCTGAAATGATTTATACTTTTTCTAAAGTACTAAAACTTTATTGCCGGGATGCCCCTCATCATTTTTCTAGGGACATGCGTGTTTTCCTACTCACTATTCATATTCAGTCGGCATTATTAAATAATGTTCTATCCAAAGATTAGAAAATACTTTGCACATTGAGTATCGAGTGATACTCAATGTGCATGTTTTTTAATTAATAGATGTATTAGTATATATACATTTAAAAAAATAAAGTATCTTTGTTCATGTTTGCCTCTTCACTTTTGAAATTGGTCTTGGGTTACTATGTTGTACCAGAAGAGAAACACTGGAGCAGACAATTAAGAGCTGGATATAAACATTTTCTGATAATTCTGGAATATAACCTTATAGGTGACATTGGTCGTCATGGCACTGGTCCTGCCTATGAGCGCTTTAGCAAGCTGCATCAAAAATTCAGCCAACGCTCAAACCAGGTTAGTTCTGAAGACTTTGTGCCTATTATCTTGATTTTTGTTTTGTTTTGTTAACTCAACAAGCACACTAAATTTCTTGCAGAACTTCACTCAAGACAACCGAACGCAGGGGATAATGGAAAAATCTCAATGGGACTTGAAAAAAATCAGATTCCACAGAAGACGGGTCACACGTGTAAGGTGACACAGAGGGCACGACTCAGCAAACCTGGCTCCATTCAGACGTTAACCAGCAAGCAGGATAAAGTAAACATGCGCTCCGGGAACGACCCTCCCAGAGTTACATCTGAGGCATAAAGAGGGTCGAACGGAGAACTATCATCGGTCACAAAGATAACAACCGTCAACCTGGGGCAATGAATCGCCCACAGGACTAAACATCTCTGCCCCCCTACCCGGCGAGATCAAAGTCCTGCACTCACTCTAAGAACATTCCTCCCCGGGACAACTGGCGATCCACCAACGGCGTTCTGACGCCCCCCAGTGGACACTGGACACTAGCACACCCGAGATAGACATTCGAAACCATCGCTCTGTGAAGACATTGTTCTGATAACCTTTACTGGCTCTACCCGTGTGTAACATTGTCTGTAATGTAAATACGCTGTGTGTCGGTATATGTGTTATGAACGTCAAAATGTGTGTATTGTGTGTGTATATGCCGTTGTAACATGTCTGTCCAGGGAGACGCACAAAGATGACGTCATGGACGCGCCTCCTTTGGAACACAATAAAACCACACACAACCCAGAGATCTTCCTCTTGGCATCCCTTGTAATCAACCTAGCAACCACAGGTACGCGTCTCCTACGCGACCTCCGGCCTGCAACAACTTAGGCCTCTCTACCTCCACGAGGACAGCTCACGACACCCGCTGTTGGAGACCACGAACTATCCTCACCAGCCACTTTCCGGCTCTCTGGACGCCTACACATACGACGCTTTTCTAGACGGCGTGCGTGTGTGTGGATTTAAGTTGGACCGGACCTGCTGGCCCTCGGTGTCTCTCTCCTGCCCGAACAAAGGAGCACGTGGACTGCTCAAACCTCCCCTTTTCTTCATTCCCGGTTCTTCAATACGGACTACGTCAAAGTAAGACTGTTCTAATTGCCACGTTAGTGTGTAATTCATGTGATATGTTTAACATCTCTGTTTAATGTGACCAAACCCCTCCTTGTTAATATTTTTCTATTTTCGTATGTAGTCAATAAACCCACGATAAACTTAAGTCATCGTCAAAGTGTCCTTTTTACCAATCTTTTGATATCCCTGGCTGATTTCGTACTCAACACCTATCAGATTGTGAGACTGATCGAGGCAGATTAGTTTGGATCTGTTGCAGACTTTCACTGTTCTGCTGGTGCCCCCATAAAATAAATTCAGATCCCCCTCTGTGGAACGGCGAGGCTCTATCCTGGAGACTGGCTCTTCCACAGTACAATTTTCTTACCCTACATATCTGGTGCCCCGGTTGTGAGATCCGCGCAAATATCTAGATTGATAAACTCGTACTCTGATGATTTGACCGGAAAACGCTAACTTAATATTGACAACGCTCCCGGTGCTTTTCCCCCACCTCCTCACCCCTACGCGTCTCCGTGCGCTACCTTGCTGCTGCATTGATTACATAGCCAATCGAGCTCCCCCGCGCCCCGCTTGCGATAAAGCGACCCCTGCATGCAATATTTTTTTTAAAAGGCTGTACTAGTAGCCTCAAAATCCCGGCCAGCATCGGGTACTACGCGACTTTAAACCGGAGCGACTCGTAAGGCCTGCGAGCGCGACGCTAGTCGGCGAAGCCGCTATCCCTCACCAGAAGGGAGGCGCACACCGCCCGCCCCACGGGAACAAAACGCAAGCTTACGGAGCCCACCCTGTGCGCCAATCCAAGGACACAGGCTGGGGCTCACAGACGCTGTCTGGATTGTGCTTGTGCCTGTTCCTCTGTGTGCTCTTTCACGATTAAAGAGACTTTAAACCGCACGCCACGTGCGGCCGGTGCTGAGAAGTCATATATATGTATAAATGTTGTTAATGGCAGCTGCTGTATGAGAAGCCACTGTTCTGCTGTTAAAGAAGCTATACCCGATTTTTTTTCTAAGTAGTTGATAAAAATGCTTATTACTACATACAAGTTGTATTATAATCCGTAATTTAATTGAAAACTTGAGGTAATTGATTCAGCTGTGTAAGAATTACAAGCAGTGAAAAGTGCTGAAGCCCACCAGCGCGCAATTGCGTATAGCTGTGCCTGTGCGATTCGTATGGCTTGCTGCGATACTTTTGTTGTTTAGATTAATGCTAACTTCCTGTTTCTGCATGCTACATGCTATGTACTGACCTACATTGCTTTGTTGTTTAGCATGAAGCTAACTTCCGGTTCCTGCTCGCTACTTTAGAGTGCTAAACCGCATTGTTCCTGTTGTTTAGACTAATTTTAAAGTCCCTGCTTCTCCGCATTACATTCTATTACTAAACTCAATGTTTTGGTGTTTAGATTAATGCTAACCTCCTGTTTCTGCATGCTACATGCTATTTACTGGACTACATTGCTTTAACTCCCCCTTTGACTGCCACCTTAACGTGGTGGGGGAGTTTGAGTACTCGGATGATCCTGGGAGCTATGCTGTCTGGGGCTTCATGCCCCTGGTAGGGTCTCCCATGGCAGACAGGTCTCAAGTGACGAGTCAGACGAAGCGCACACTGCATGAAAAGTGTGATTTTCGTCTCTTTTCGGCCCTGTATATTACTGTGAAACTTCTGGGATTCGGCTGTTGACGGTAGTTTGTTGTCCCCTCCTCCCTCCTCCACAGGAGGCTTTAACATGTAAATGGGAATGCTGTGAGCTATACAAATGCTAATCAGGGTTGAGGGGGAGCACAACTTTGCTCCATGCTGCACAACTACTTTCAGTCAGTCTGCAGCATGGATCAGGTCAGCACACTGTAGACCCGGATATTGTAAATGCTCAAACTGTTTACACACACACACACACACACACACACACACACACACACACCACACACACGCACGCACGCACGCACGCACACACACACACACACATCAGATAAATGTTTGATCATGATTGATTATAGCTTGTCATGTCAAAATCAATTAAATAAATCCAATAGGACAAAAGACATGTTGAAAGTGTAAGTGCTCATCAAAGGATATATGTATGTACAGTACAGACCAAAAGTTTTTATTTTTTATTTTTTTCATGAATATGAACATTGTAGATTCACACTGAAGGCATCAAAACTGAATTATGTACATACCTAAAAGAAAAGGTAATCAACTGAAAATATGTGTTATATTCTCGGTTCAAAGTAGCACCATATATATATATAACATATACATACACTGTAAAAAATTTCAGTGAAATGTACTGAAAATGTCCGTAAAATGGTGACTGAAAAAAACTGTAAGTTGAAAAACCATCAAACTCAGTTTAAGTAACAGTAATGTTCAGTTGGAAGTTTTACTATCCAAGATAGTTACTTTTAGAGAAAATTTATGTTAAAATTATAACATTTCTTTGTAGTTTCAACACAGAAAAACTGCAAAACAAAAAACAAGAAAATACAGTCAAATGTACATCAAGAGTCTATTACTAAAGAAATTAAAATACTTGAAACTAATGTTTACAAGTAATTAACTTATTAAGTTAACCATTACTCCTGTTTGTCATTAATCATAACCCATTCCACAAAAAATTGGTACAAACTCAATGTATGAGTAAATGTGTGATATAGTGAAGAAGAAGAAGAATAGACTGAAACTGCAATTAAAATGTTCTATCCTACCCCGTAATCATTCCCGGGTCAGCTGCCACCAACCACAGGGCACCAGCATCTGTGTGAGTATAGCCTTGATCTTATCAGCGGGGGCTTCAGGCAAAGATGGGTTAAGTGTTTTGCCCATGAAATCAACTACAGCGTGGGCAGTGATGTCTTATATACCCCTTGTAGTTCGGTTCTTTTGGACCCCTAGGGTCCAAAGTTAAAAGGTAAAATTTAGAATTTATCATAAATTCAGCACCAAAAAATGATTTTTAGTGTATTTATGAATCACTTTTGCAGATAGTACAAAGTTAAAGGGGTGTCAAACTGGTTCCAGTTAATTCTATAATAGTATTTTGATTATGTCTTGACTCCAACTATTATTGCCAGGTTAAAAGGACAAACAAAGAACATGTCAAACCTTAGTAACAACCAACCTCCCTCTTCTAAATCCCTTAATTTGCTTTTAATCAATTCTTAACACAGGTAAAACAGTTTATTTTGTGTGACAGTTTTGTAAATAACTAATTTTAAAACGTATTCGTTTGCACGAGAGACGATCAAAAACGAGACGGAGCCAGGGACGAAATGCACTGAATATGCTCTCATTACACACTTTTATATTACGTCTATAATTCAATATGAAGCCTTATTACAGACATAAGCCGACCTGAACTCTCTTCATCTGTTTCAAATTGCTTGTGTCTGCAGACGGGGAAAAGTGAAGAAGGATTTGATACCAGTAAGTACAAGACGCCGTGACTTCAGCCAAACCCACTGTGAAGGACGTTACATAGGTTCAAAATGACTGAATCCACCGTTATTCAACTTTTACTGTATGTCTTTGTCCACAAACATTAGGTGCGAGACTTCTCAGGTTTTGTCAATACCACAGTGGCCATACTTGAATCACAGAGAGTTGAACTTCACGACCTACGTGCCGTTGTTCTTCAGGACCGGTTGGTCCCTGGACCACCTGACCGCGTCTGTGGGAGGCGTATGCACGATCATCGGGTCGTCCTGCTGTACATATATTCCGGCTAATGATGAGGACGGAGGTCTTATCCAACAGGGCATAGCCAATCTGACTAGACTCCGGGACGCCATGCAAGCGGACAATGTCACGGACACTCCTCACGGTCTGGACTGGCTCCTGTCCTCCTGGCGGAGTGTGCTCATTAATCTTGGTTTAGCCCTATTGACTGTTATGGTTTTATTTTCATGTGTATTACCTTTGGTGTTTCGGGCCGTTGGTAAAATGATATCCACTCACTTTGTGTCCATTCAATACAAAGACCCCGAAGCGGACCTGGCCGCTGTCCCACTGAACTCCGATCCTGATTATATCAGCGATTCGGACGATGACTTTGTCTAACGTTTTCTTTCTTGTTTACCTTGTTTTTATTTTTCCACTTGTTTCGCCTACAATTTAGGGGGAGGGTATCACAGTGAAGAGCTTTGACCACACCCTCGTAATACAAGAGGCTTGGGTGACGGCAGCCTAGCCTGCCCATCAACAACTCGTGTTTTGCTCAGGGGTCAAGGTCAATACTCACCCACCTGAATGTGATCTCTGTAAAACTGGAGTTTCTACATTATCACGGGAGAGGAATGTGGTGGCAATCTGCCCACCCAGGGACGCCAACCCACTCCCCCCTGCTGCTTTATTCAGATAAACCGGCAGGAAGGAGACGGGCCTTCCCGCACCGCCAGACAATGACGCAAATCACCCTCACACCCTTGTGCCTTTCGCGTCTTGCATCTGTATGCCTGCATTTCTACCATTGTCTGTCTGTTCGCACCTCCATGCCACTGTCACCACAGGGGATGGCGCCAACGCTCCCTATGCGCCTCCTGCACCGGTGGCCCCCTCCCATCTGTTGTGGGCGTGACTGTCTTTCATGTGTGTCTATGTAAACAGGAAGCCTGAGCTCTGCGAGCCAGAGCTGGGATATGCTGCCTTTTTGTATATGTTAGCTCTCCGCACGTGTGTTACAATAAACTTACGCTCCTGAATTAAGACAAAGACCTTTGAGCTTCTTCCTTGCTTTGGATAGAAACTTCTATAACACAACACAGCTGTGCGGATTTTTCACTATTTTCACATTTTGCATTTTTTTAATCCAGCAGGCTAGTTCAGACTGTGGTGATGTGCGTCCATATTTGAACCTTTCTTAAAACAGGATTCACCGATGGGACAAAGCCATACAGTCATATTTTAAGAACAAATGCTTTATTTCCTCATTCCAAGGAAGGCATTTCTTATATATTCTTAAAAGAAATAAGATAAACAAACAAGATATTTCTTTGTTGTCCCATTGACAAATCTTGGTTGAAGACAGGCTAGTGTTTAAAGACACATTTAGACAAATTTGAGCAATTTTGAACTTTTTTTTTGTTTCTACTTTTTGCAGTGTAAGGACAGTGTTGATCCTGGACATTTATTGACATTTCTAGACAGTGGTCACCCTCCTCTATATGAACCAATGTCTCTATGTGTTTGTTATCATTACATTTCCTAATTGACAACATTCCTCCGAGACGACTGCTGTTGTGATTCAGGGCGATCCACAAAAACACTGAATGTATTTGAGATTACCATGTGACGTCTGGGTTGGAGCGGCTGCCTCTGTGCGTTCACATATTCTGAAACACACAGTTCACAAACCACATGAAAATCCAAGTATTCAGCAGCAGAATAATGTTTTTGTTCACTCACCAACAACGTTACACCGTGACCTTTGAAAACAACACAAAGTATGTTTTAGTTCACTTTTAAAGGCGTCAGAAAAGCGGGACTTTAGAACACTTACCTTTTTCTGCTGCGTGTTCTTGCTGCAAAAACAAAAAAATAATTTAGATATTTTTTATATATCATTTCAGTTTTATGTTTTATTAAAAAGGACAACAAAGTACACAACAATAAATAATACATAAAAACACAACATTTTAAGATACATGTTGTTCTTACTCCACTTTATGCAGAAAAAAGTCAAAGCAGAAACGACGGCAGCCGCTAAAAGTCCAGACACTGTGAATATCACCACAGACTTTGGGTTTTCTGTGAAACATTAGAAAACAGATATTTATTTGTCTTATTTTGGCTCTGAAACAAGATCAAGAATTTATTTTTGTAGGATGTGAACTATTTTTACTCTAAGTACAAGTTTTAGGCTGGACAGTGCCCTCTATTGGTGAACCTGAAAATAACAACACTGTGGTGAATCAAAATAATGTTTATTGTCGTGTAACAGGAAGTCACAAAGCAGGAAATTTCTCACGGTGCAAACAAGTCCAAAGTGGAGAACAGAATAGGTCATAATAAAACTCTTCATACATTTCTGTAATATAAACATTCAGGTGTATTGTTAAAAGCCAGTTGCCCAGAACCAGAACCAGGACCAGGACCCAAGACTCAATTCCAGTCCAAGTCCCAGACAACGCAAGTGTCTGAAGCAAGCACCAGATAGACCCGCCCATACTTTCTGATTGGAGACGGCAATTTAACAGAAGGAACTCAGTATGAAGGTTAATCTAGCTTAAGGAAAAGGACACTGTATATTTCAATTTGGAGAGACGTGAAACAAGAAGCTTTTGAGTATTTATTGGGAGGAGGTTTGGCGCCCTAGGCCCCGGTGCGGCCTTCAGATCGGAGGGGCTCTGCGATGGAGCGTGCCAATCCCCCGGGACCTAGGCACTGGTGGCGGCATTTGGCAGCGGGAAGCAGATTGAAGGCAGAATGAAGCAGGGTGAAGAGGAGGAGGAGGGGAGGCGGTGGCTGCAGCTTCAAGAGGCCGAGAATGGGAGTTCCTCCGCTTTTAAGCAGCTTGCCTGGCTGGACCGGTGATTGGAAGGGGGCGTTTGCAGTGCGATAGGCTGGGGATGAGAACCGGCCTGGAGGGGTTACCTTTGGCTGACGTCTACCAAATTGAACTTACGCTGGCTGCATTTCAATTTGGAGAGACGTGAAACAAGAAGCTTTTGAGTATTTATTGGGAGGAGGTTTGGCGCCCTAGGCCCCGGTGCGGCCTTCAGATCGGAGGGGCTCTGCGATGGAGCGTGCCAATCCCCAAAAGGTTGTGAGTTGATGGAGTTTTGCAGCCTGGTTTGAAGGGGACAGACGTCGAGACTACTCTATGCTGTGACCGCTATCGCTATATACTGTGACCGCTATCGCTATATACTGTGACCGCTATCGCTATATACTGTGACCGCTATCGCTATATACTGTGACCGCTATCGCTATATACTGCGACCGCTATCGCTATATACTGTGACCGCTAACCATTTTTTGCTATATAATGTGACCGCTATCACTATATGCTGTGACCGCTATCTATTGTGACCAAACTTGCGGATCCTCATCCGAGCAGTCTCTGCCGAGCAGTCTCTGCCGAGCAGTCTCTGCCGAGCAGTCTCTGCCGAGCAGTCTCTGCCGAGCAGTCTCTGCCGAGCAGTCTCTGCCGAGCAGTCTCTGCCGAACAGTCTCTGCCGAACAGTCTCTGCCGAACAGTCTCTGCCGAACAGTCTCTGCCGAACAGTCTCTGCCGAACAGTCTCTGCCGAACAGTCTCTGCCGAACAGTCTCTGCCGAACAGTCTCTGCCGAACAGTCTCTGCCGAACAGTCTCTGCCGAACAGTCTCTGCGGGCGACCATTGCTTGCGGATACTCAGCTGCTGCGACCATTGCTTGCGGATACTCAGCTGCTGCGACCATGCTTGCGGATACTCAGCTGCTGCCGCCACCAGGAAGTTTGCAAGTGTTTTATGGAGATGCAAAGAGGCGCTGGGCTGCCAGGATGGTCGAAGTGTCAGGCCTGATGTATGAGGAGAGGGCCGATGATGACCAGCGGCCCAGCTGCTGGAGGGCGGAATAGGGGAGCCCAAGGGACGCGGCGCGCGTGGCGGCGCCTATCCGAAGGAGTGGGCTGTGTAGAGATGGGGAGACAGGTTACAAGCAGCAGTACGGACTTGAGTTGGGCTCTGAAACAGACGGATGACGTTGGAAGGTTATCGGGAGCGCGGAGGAGATGCTTTGAGGGAAGGCGTCGGGCCAGGGCCCGGCGAACCACTGGACCTGGAAGAGACCCCCAAAACCCACGGACGGGGCTGCGTCCGTGAAGAACCGCAGGGCATCTGAGGACGGGATGACGTCACTGTAAAAAAAAGATACACCGTCCCAGCGGCTCTGCAGACGGGACCCGAACGCCAGGTCGGAGCGGCACCCCGCGTCCGGGCAGACAGCGTCGTTGAGGGAGGAGACGGAGCCAGATACAAGCAGTTCCATATACAAGCAGTTCCATATACAAGCAGTTCCATATATATGCAGTACCAATATATGCAGTTCCATATATTGCATGAGCAGTTCCGATATGAGCAGTTCCGATATGAGCAGTTCCGATATGAGCAGTTCCGATATGAGCAGTTCCGATATGAGCAGTTCCGATATGAGCAGTTCCGATATGAGCAGTTCCGATATGAGCAGTTCCGATATGAGCAGTTCCGATATGAGCAGTTCCGATATGAGCAGTTCCGATATGAGCAGTTCCGATATGAGCAGTTCCATATATTAGCAGTTCCATATATTAGCAGTTCCATATATTAGCAGTTCCATATATTAGCAGTTCCATATATTAGCAGTTCCATATATTAGCAGTTCCATATATTAGCAGTTCCATATATTAGCAGTTCCATATATTAGCAGTTCCATATATTAGCAGTTCCATATATTAGCAGTTCCATATATTAGCAGTTCCATATATTAGCAGTTCCATATATTAGCAGTTCCATATATTAGCACATCCATATATTAGCAGATCCATATATTAGCAGTTCCATATATTAGCAGATCCATATATTAGCAGATCCATATATTAGCAGTTCCATATATTAGCAGTTCCATATATTAGCAGTTCCATATATTAGCAGATCCATGTATAAGCAGTTCCGTATATAAGCAGATCCATATATAAGCAGGTCCAGATATAAGCAGAACCAATATATGCAGTTCCATGCACTGTATAAGCGGTTCCAGGTATAAGCAGTACCATATAATCAGTTCCAGGTATGAGCAGTCCCAATATGAGCAGTTCCATAAAAGCAGTTCCATAATACATAAGCAGTTCCGTAATACATAAGCAGTTCCGTAATACATAAGCAGTTCCGTAATACATAAGCAGTTCCGTAATACATAAGCAGTTCCACAATACGTAAGCAGTTCCATAATACGTAAGCAGTTCCAGATATAAGCAGTTCCGTGAGGGATTAAACTGAGAGCTCGCAGTCCAATTTGAGGGATTAAACGGAGCTTGCAGTCAGAGTGAAGGATTTAAACGGAGCTTGGTTAAAGAGAGCCTGCAGACCAATGCGAGGGCTTTAAACTGATGCTTGCCCACCAATGCACGGGGCCAACTGAGCCTGCATTACAAGCGCGGGGCCAACTGAGCCTGTAGGACAATGCGAGGGGAATAAACCGTCCGCAGATCTCATACTTACCCGCAACGCCAGAAGATAAGGGACAACACGACGGGACCACACCGTATGGCACGAGGAGGCAGGGATGCGCACGGCTCCCACCGCACCGGTCCAGACCGGCCGTATGCAGCAGCAGGCCGCGACGAGACGAGCAGCGGCGAACCCGCAGAAAGAGCCCGCAAAGGAGGAGAGCGGCAAAGACCCACGGACCACAGCACGAGACCCGCAGCAGGTGCAGCGAAGTGGAGGAGGAGCAGACGACACGCAGCAGGACAGAGGACAGCAGGGACACGCACGAAGTAAGTGAGAGTAGAACAAAGCGATTCCTCCAGAACGACGCTTTTGCAAGGCTTCGCTCTTTGCTGCAGCTTCAAGAGGCCGAGAATGGGAGTTCCTCCGCTTTTAAGCAGCTTGCCTGGCTGGACCGGTGATTGGAAGGGGGCGTTTGCAGTGCGATAGGCTGGGGATGAGAACCGGCCTGGAGGGGTTACCTTTGGCTGACGTCTACCAAATTGAACTTACGCTGGCTGCATATTTAAAAAAATCATGTATACCCTGTTTCTACCAGCCAGTGGGGTCAAGTCGGCCAAAAAAAGTCCATATGCACGTGCGCTGACATACTTGCACTACGGGCCAGTGGGGGTGGACCCAGAAAGAGTATTATCCAATGCTTGTGTATGGCGTCTTCTTTCCTCTCAAAAACGTCTTTACAGAATGATCCAATTGGTCTTGGTCCAATATTTCGTTCCAGATGTAGTCGATGCTGAGGGGAGTATATGTTTATGGACCAGTCTAGTTCAGCCGCTGTGGACCTTTGAAGGCACTGGTTAAATTGAATGGAGCTGGTGCAGCTGACGCATGCACAAATGTGGATACTGAAACTGTCAAAAAGATAATCATGAGTCTGAGCTCCTCCACATGTAGCCTGGATATATTGCCCTCTAAATTTCTGAAGTCCGTCCTGAGCAGTTTGTTACCTTCACTGACACAAATAGTAAACATGTCTCTGTCGTCAGGAACATTTCCTATGGCCCTAAAAACAGCAGTCATAAGACCTCTCCTAAAAAAGAGCAGTCTGGATCCTGCGGGACTTCAAAATTATCGCCCCATATCGAATCTGCCATTTATTGGAAAAATTCTTGAAAAAGTGGCCTCCCAACAACTTACTGAATTTTTAACAATGAATAATTCTTTTGATATGTTCCAGTCTGGGTTTAGACCCCACCACAGCACTGAGACCGCTCTAGTGAAGGTAACAAACGACATTCGACTTCACACTGATGCAGGTAAAGTCACAGTTTTGGTCATGTTAGATCTTAGTGCCGCGTTCGACACTGTCGACCATGAGATCCTCATGCAGAGACTGGAGGACTGGGCTGGTGTCACTGGCACAGCCCTAGACTGGTTTAGGTCTTACCTGGAGGATAGGAAGTACTCTGTGGAGATTGGAGACTGCGTCTCAGATGATGTGGCCCTGACCTGTGGTGTACCACAGGGGTCGATCCTGGGACCTCTCCTATTTAATCTCTACATGCTGCCGTTAGGTCAGTTAATACAAAGAAACAAAGTGTCCTACCACAATTACGCTGACGACACTCAGATCTATGTCTCACTGACTGCAGGAGAACATGGACCACTGGATTTGCTCCTTCACTGTATCCAACAGATCAGTGACTGGATGCAAAATAATTTCCTCCAGCTAAATACAGACAAAACCGAAATCATTGTCTTTGGTCCCCAGAAACAAAGAGAGGGGCGTCATTTGTCAACTTCAGTCTCTCTCCCTACTTCCTTCAGACAAGGTCAGAAATTTGGGGGTAATACTGGACTCAGACCTAAATTTCAATAGCCACATAAAATCAATAACATCAACAGCTTTTTACCATCTGAAGAACATTGCCAAAGTTAGAAATATAGTGTCCAGGGCAGACTTGGAGATTCTTGTCCATGCATTTGTCTCCAGCAGGCTAGACTACTGCAATGGCCTGCTTACAGGTCTGTCCAAACAGACCTGTAAGCAGCTGCAGTACATCCAAAATGCAGCAGCTAGAGTCCTGACAGGAACCAGGAAGTATGACCATATTAGTCCGGTCCTCAGGTCTCTGCACTGGCTTCCTGTGGCTCAAAGAATAGATTTTAAAACGGCTCTGCTTGTGTACAAGTCTCTCCATGGCCTTGCACCAGAATACATTAGTGACATGTTGGTGTCATATGAACCAGCCCGGACTCTGAGGAGCACAGGGACTGGCCTCCTGCTGGTGCCCAGAGTGAGAACCAAACATGGGGAGGCTGCGTTTCAGATCCATGCAGCTAAGATCTGGAACAATCTCCCTGAAAATGTGAGGGAGGCGTCTACTCTGTCAATGTTCAAATCCAGGTTAAAGACTGTTCTGTTTGCCTGTGCATACAACTGAAGGATTTTATCTCCATTTTTAATGCACTGCTGTCATTTATTTATTTTTTTAAATTTCTTGTGTAATTTTGAAAGTTTTAATGGTTTTATTCTTTTGTGTGATTTTAATGTTTTAATTGTGATTCTGGTGTTTGTTTTATGTGATGATTTGTGATGTGGACTGTGAAGCGCTTTGTGTTGCCATGTGTATGAAAGGCGCTCTACAAATAAACTTTGATTGATTGATTGATTGACAAATGTGTTTTTTCACATTTTCCTGCAGGGCACAGTTTTCCCCTTGGTTTAGTGTCTTATCTTTTTAGTCCAGGTGTTTTGGGGTTTATCATTTTTTCAAGATTATTTTTTGTAAGTATGTTTTATGTAACAGGTCCCTGGGTTAACTAGGCTCACTTAGAATTTGCAGCCAGAGAACATCAATTGGACTAGATCAGAAAAGACTAGGTATCGACTCTGGGAGTGAGTGAAGCATACGCGAGGCAGTATTTTGGGTTTTGTTGGTACCATATTGCACACTTATGACAAGGACACAGAGACAACATTTACCCCACAACCCAACCCAAGTGAATGGCCATACAATATGTACAAAGTTCAGTTCCAAGAGTCTCACGATATTCATGGTATTCCAATAGTCCATTCAGTACTTAGTTCCTTGAGGGCAAAATATTCCACACAGCGCAAGCGGAACAAATGTGGACACGGAGCAACGGACCGAGGCACCCGAGGCAGAGTTCGAGGTAATAAAAATGAAAGAAGGCGGCTGCAGGAGCCTCCGACCCGTCCTGCTCAGAGCAGGTGAAGGTCCTCTGACTCCTGAGTCCCAAGAGGACAGTGTGGACCCCTTGTGGAGAGTCCAGTGGAGTTGAGATAATTCACTTCAATGGTTCAGGTCTCTAGCTCGCCATCTTACCTGGCCTAGTCCTGAAACTTCTGCCTACTCGCGCCGAGCGGTAGTATGGACCCAGTCCTCGGCTCCTGCTGCAATTCACCCTCCCAGCTTCAACCTCGCATTACCGGTGTGTGTGCTACTGCCGGCATATAAGCCAATGAGAGCATAGTGCACCGTCACATGACACGGAGATGCATTCAATTTAATATTGTACTGATTATTACAATGCTTGATACAATAATTCATATAATACTTTTTAGATTTCATCTAAGAAGGGAAAAACCTGGCAGGGTTTTCTACCTGGGTTACATCTACATTTTTGATAATGTTTTAATATTTTTTTTACCTATTTGGTATATTTTTGTTTTGATCTGGTGGTTACATTTTTTTTACCTATTTGGTATATTTTTGTTTGATCTGGTGGGTCCGGTGGTTACATTTTCGGTGACAAGGGTGTGTTTGGGTTTTCTCTATTCTTAGTTCGGCTGCCGGCATTGGATCCGGACGGCCCTGTGTAGGGTTGGTTCAGTGTCGGCCCATTTTGTTTGTTTTGGCTGGCCCCCCAGGTCCACCTTAATTTTTTTGTATTTATCTATATAAAAAAATCACTCAAAAGGGAAAATATGAATAAAATCAATTTTGAACTCTCACCCTGCTATTTTAAAAAAGCCTCATTGACCTATGTGTACTTATGTGGACCTATGTGTACCTACACTACCGTTCAAAAGTTTGGGGTCACCAAAGTGTTTTCCATGAAAAGTCACACTTCTTCACCATCATACGTTGTGAAATGAATAGAAAATAGAGTCAAGACATTGACAAGGTTAGAAATAATGATTTGTATTTTAAATAAGATTTGTTTTACATCCAACTTTGCTTTTGTGAAAGAATCCTCCATTTGCAGAAATTACAACATTGCACCAAAAACCAGACATTTGCAGCTAGAACAGTCATTTACCACATAAGCCATGTATAGAGTGTATTTCTTTATAGTTTAAATTATCTACAGATTTTCCTTCAAAAATATGGACATTTCAATGTGACCCCAAACTTTGAACGTAGTAGTATATGTGTACTTATGTGTACCTATGTGTACTTACAGTACAGACCAAAAGTTTAGACACACTTTCTCATTCAATGAGGTTCCTTTCTTTTCAGGCCTATTGGCTGTAGATCCACACCTGGCTGTGTAAGGGCTGTTTGACCACATGACCTCCACAGTCACCGGACCTGAACCCAGTCCAGATGGTTTTGTGGTGAGCTGGACCACAGAGAAAGGGCCAACAAGTGCTAAGCATCATGGGAACTCCTTCAAGACTGTTGAAGACCATTTCAGGTCCTCTTGAAGCTCATCCAGAGAATGCCAAGAGTGAAGCAGTATCAGAGCAAAAGGTGCTACTTTGAAGAACCCAGAATATAACACATATTTTCAGTTATTTCAATTTTTTTTTGTTGCAGTTACATAATTTCACATGAGTTAATTCATAGTTTTGATGCATTCAGTGTGAATCTAAAATTGTCATAAATGTGAAAATAAAAAAACTCTTTGAAAGAGAAGATGTGTCCAAACTTTTGGTCCCTGCTGTATGTACCTATGTGGACTTATGTGGACTTTACCATCATTTTCAGTTAGTGTTTGACTGTTTGAGTGAATAAAAACCTCTTTCCCGATCAGTTGTGTCTGTGGTCTTCATTGAGTCTGTGGTCTTCACTGAGTTTGTGGTCCTCACTGAGTCTGTGGTCTTCACTGAGTCTGTGGTCTTCACTGAGTCTGTGGTCTTCACTGAGTTTGTGGTCCTCACTGAGTCTGTGGTCTTCACTGAGTCTGGGGTCTTCCCTGAGTCTGTGGTCTTCACTGAGTCTGTGGTCTTCACTGAGTCTGTGGTCTTCACTGAGTTTGTGGTCCTCACTGAGTCTGTGGTCTTCACTGAGTCTGTGGTCTTCACTGAGTTTGTGGTCCTCACTGAGTTTGTGGTCTTCACTGAGTTTGTGGTCTTCACTGAGTTTGTGGTCCTCACTGAGTCTGTGGTCTTCACTGAGTTTGTGGTCCTCACTGAGTCTGTGGTTTTCTCTGAGTCTGGGGTCTTCCCTGAGTCTGTGGTCTTCACTGAGTCTGGGGTCTTCCCTGATGGAGCTGTTGTGGTGTTGATGTGAAGTGGGAAATATTTTTTCATGAATCCTTCAAAACAAAACATGTCGTTAAAGTTAAATACACATTATTTATCAGTGTATCCATGTGTTTCTAATGTTACCAGCCAAGTCGTACGGTTCACTGCGAGGATCCTGAGAGGAGCCACAGCTGAGGACTTTACTCTGGACTTTATGAAAATGTGTCAAAAACTCCTCATCAGGAATAAAAAACCAGCAAAGCCATCGTCCTTTACTGTCCCATCGTGATGTTTTGGTTGAATACGACTGCGTGTCTCCAAAATACAGGTGACATTTGGACTCAGATGAAAATGAAGAAGGCAGTGTGCAGGTCACAGTAACCACCTCCTCTGATTTAATAAGAGTTAACTCTGGTTTTGCTCCTAAAACAAAATCATTGTGAAAAATACAAATTGATAAGACAAAGTCAATGTAAAGAACATATTTACCTCGAGCTGTGACTTCAACAATTGCATCTGTTTGGAATAAAACACAGTGACGTTCCTAAATCATAGTTATAGCAGCAAACACACACACGGAAAACACACATTTCGAGGTCAATTCATTTATTCAACACTTCTTATAGAGGGTTAGACCAGGGATGTCAAAGTCAAAGACATCAGAGGCCAAAAATAACAAATTAGCTACAAGCCGACGGCCGGACTGGTTCAATGTTTATCAAAACATATTAAAACAATTGCATATAATCTATTGAACCAAGACCTAACACAGTATTTTATATAATTATTAAATTAATAATCCAATATTTTTGTACGGGTCGGTGCGGCCGGTTCAAAAACTATTCAAATATCATCCTGGGGCCAAGATAAATCATGATGCAGGACCAACATGATGTAGGACTGAGGCAGCTCCCAGGTGGAGGACTTTAGACTTTTCTGGTAATATGAGGATTGGGAGATTCTCTGGGGTTGGAATTCTACCAATAAAAACCACAAAATCAGGCCAGAAATCGCACAGTGGGTCCAGCATGAACTAGAACTGATAAAAAAGCTTATTTGTAAAGCACCGTTCATACACAAGGCAACAATTAAAATTAATTAATTAAAATACAACAAAAAATAACCGACAATTATGGACCTCGGTCATACCATCATATCAATGGCTCTGTGTATTTTATCATTGCATTTCCTGTGAACGCTCTGATTCTCTGATCTGTGCCGACGAATCGACAGCTTTCTAAAGTCCTCCGGGAAAACTACAGTTGTGATTTAGGATCATACAAAAATACATTGAATTTTAGCTTCTTTGCTCTGGCTTCCTGTTAATGTTAGAAGAGATTTTAAGATGTTATTGCTTGTTTTTAAAGCTTTGAAAGGACTGGCCCCACAGCACGTCTCGGACCTCACTCAAATCTACCACCCCCGCCCTGCGCACTGAGGTCCGAGGACCAGCTCCAGCTACATGGAGCCTAAAACCAGACTTAAAACCCGGGGACAGGGCCTTCTCTGTGGCTGGACCAAAGCTGTGGAACACCTTAAGGGTCCGTGTATTTTTCGTTCAATCGTCTTTTCAAATTAAAATGCAAAATTAAATATCAAAAAATGGCTTGAATTTTCATTTTTCATTTTGATGAGGAAAAGGAAAAACGAAAAATTGGCTTGATATTTGATTTTTCGTTTTGATGCAAAAAATGAAAAAACAAAATATTGAATAATGCTATCATGCCGATTTGATTTAATTTTTCGTTTTGGGGCAACCGGAAGTGTGCGCCAAAGCCCGTGCACCCCATTATTTTCGTCCGACTGGAAACAACAGAAAGCAGGCTGGCCTCAAGTGAGTTCAGTCTGGTTCAGTCTGGTTCAGTCTTAACCCTTTAAGCGCCAAAGTCGCAATATTGCGACAAGCAACATTGCTCACTTAAACAGGCTGTATGTAAAAATGTGGTGCAGAATCTTGTTAATACTTTTCACCAGGGGTTAGTGGACATGTGTGCCTGTAATATGAGCAGCATTTGTGGGTGTGGTTATATTGAAAGTTTTTGAGTAAATTGAGTTCGTAAAACACCTGCGGCGCAGCGGCGCGGAGGCGAAGCAGCAGCGGTAGAGCTGAGAGGAGCGAGAGCAGAGCAGAGGGAGAGAGTGTTTTTTTCTTTTACTCACGAGGTCTTCAGTACCAGAGAAGTACTTGGTCTGGTACTGACTCACTCAGATTCAGAGGAGGAAGACACACAGGTGTCCAGTGAAGCAGACACGGACATTATTGGTAACGGGGAGACCGCGCTCCATAGTCCACAATCAGCCCCTGTACAGCGGCTGCTTGTCCTCCGTGTGGCCGCGGTAGAAGCATTCTGTGAACGCCAAGCAGGGGCCGGGGTCGAGGGGACAGGGGCATCATAACATGTGGGAGAAAGTAGCCGGGGTAGACATCCGCGGGGATCGCGGAAGACGCGGGAGAAGCCGCGGGAAAAAGCACATCGCTTATTGCGTTCACTGCCTTTACCAACTGCAATGATGAGGATGAAGGCAGTTCTTGAGAGAAAATAATCCACAAAAGTGGACCAGAAGTGTTGAAGAGCCTGTTGTTTCTTGTTGAGACGATCTGACATGTTCTGTGCCCATTCATTTCATCTCTCTGTTTCTACACGATAAATCTTGGAGCCTCATTTCCACTGAGAAAAATAGTATGCCCACTACTTCTTTGAAAGGGAAATATTGAAACCAATCTCCAGATTTCATGACTGTAAACTATAAAGAGTGCAGTCTTGATCACTGAAGGTCTTTGAAAATAATAAAATTCCATATGGCTGCGAACCAGTGCTAAAACATTATGTATAATCTGGATCAGGGAATTTATTTCTATCCCAAATTCATTTCATACTAAAGATATATTTCACATTTACTGTTTATAGTATTCCTTGATCTCAAATAACTCCCAAGCTACAGCTTTTTGAAGTCTTTATACAATAAGTAACATTTTCCAAAATGGCCGCCACCTTGATGACGTCAGAATATGCAAATTAGATGATGAATCAACTTCCATCCCAAAGTTTGGTTCAGACTGAAGATATTTCTAATTTACAGTATGCCTTTATCTCAAACCATTTTAAAGTTATAGCCTTTTGAAATCTTGAAATCAAAATTGTACATTTTCTTGAAAAAACTCTGGCGCCTAAAGGGTTAACCTGAAAATGTGAGGAAATAGGCGGAGGCTGCTTTCACCACAATTGCCTCTATATGCCTGTAAACTTGTCTTTATATGCCTGAAATGTGTGTCTTCGGGTCGAACACGTGACGTCGTGCACGTTCACGTTAGCTGTGGCAGCGCTGGCTGTATCTGTCACTACTGAAGCTGCAGAGGTGGCTCTGGAAAGATGAATACTGTGGAGAATAACAAGAGACCGCCTCCAGGCAGCGCTGAAACTCCAGCCCAAACTAAAGTAAAGTGCTTGAAAGGTAAGGTAAATACGTGTGGGCAAAAATAGTGTTAGATGCTTTCAACGCAGCGGTCCGTGTATCAAAAGGCTACGTAGCAAAATGCCATTTCTTTTGTCAGTAACTGAGTTTTGCTGCATTTTAATTGTGGAAAGCGCACAGAATGAGGCATGGATGTCTCCTTTTCCAAAACACCAGCCGTAATAAACCCCAGCTAGATCTCTGCGTTACGGGGAATTTACACAGTAGGCGTAAACAGCGCGTACGCGTTTACTGCGCGCTCTCTGCGCGTAACATTTTTTTGGAGTATCTACACTGACCGTGCGCGCAGGTCCGCGTCTTCTGATGCTGTCCCTGTGTAGTCTATGGAGCAGTGTAGAGGACAGTACAGAGGACTGATGTAGAGCAACACAGATCACATGCATGTGTTTGTCTTCATGGTCTCTGTGCGCTGGTTTGGCCAGACGCGAGACTTTATGAAAGAAAAAATACGATGTCCAGAATCACTGTAAAACCTGCTGCTCCTCCTGCTGATGTTTAGACACAAGTGCTGTGTGTGTGTGTGTGATCTAAACCCAAGGACCGCTAGAAAAATCATGTTTTACATGAGATTTCAATGGGAGACGCGTTGGTGCGCGCACAAAATTAGAAATCCATCCTAAATTAGAGCGCAGCTTCGCGTCACATGTCCGTCATACGCGCGTATAACGCTAGAAGTGTAAATATCATCATAGGTTAACATGGAAAAAAGTTACCCGCGTCTGCTGCGCGTATAACGCGTACGTGCTGTAACGCGTGATGTGTAAATTAGCAGTTAGAAGGAAATAACACAACAGTTAGCATTAGCTGGATATGCTACATGAAGTGATGTGCAGAGTTTTGTTTACAAACGGGGCTATTTTAGAAACAACTGCAGTACCTACAGCTTTAGCAAAGGTCTCGTTGTTTAGTTAAGAAGGAGAGGCTTACAAACATGTCCAGTATTCAGGCAATAATGTGTAAATTACATTATTATTATTGCATTATTCTCAATGGATTTCAATGTGTACATGCTTTGCACATGTGTTTACCAAAGCAAGTACTAAAATGGTATGTGTGAAGTTACATTCTTTTTAACACTTTTTGTGTCCATATAGTTTGGAACAGCCAAAACTGAAACATGGGATGCACGGAGGAGATGATTGACAGATTAGTTGCCCTTGGTAAGCAAGCATATTCACTACAGTGTATCCTTACAGGCCTTTCTGTTACAGCTGACGGGACGATGGACTCTCCAGGTAATGCACTAAGCTCTTGGACATCTGATTATTATAGATTTGCTGGAATGTTTGTTTTTCATTATTTTCCCATTATCTAACTTTTTTAATTAGGAATATTAAAGGTAAAGGTGCACTTGATTGATCCCCGCAGGGCAATTCAATCCTCTGCATTTGACATAACATGCTTATGAGTTTTTAATTTGAATTGCAACTTGTTACAAGATTATTTTGTTGTGTTCTGAACAGATCCAGAAAAGGGCAGATATCAGGGTATTATTCCTTCACTCGATGTCTGGCATGCCTCAAATAATCTAACAAAGAAACTTCGTGCTGTATGTCAAATTATATTATATTA